GGAACATGGATCCTTACACACTGTATGATTTAGCCGAATGTTTATATCCAAAAGGGTCAAGAGAATTGGATGAACGAATTGCTATTGAACTCGTGCTATCTAGTGCTAGTAGATGTCATCATTGTGCCTCCATACTCTACGACGAAGAAATAATGGCTGGTTGGCAACCAGAAGACTCGAATTTAAACACAGTCTGTCAGTATTGTGACAAAGCGACAGTACCTCTACTTACTATAACGATATTAGATTACAGGTAATATAATAAATATAGCTATCTTGTTGGTGTAACAGTATAAGAGAATTACACTATTAAGCTTTTTTGATAATAATATATAAAGAAATTCTTTACACAATAATTTTAAAAGTGATATTCAGAAAATTTGAATCAAGAACGTAAAATTCAATATAACGAGTATTAATTATTAGTTAATGGATCAGAACTGAAAAATAAATTAGTTATCAGTTTTCATTTCATAATAATTTATTATTTAAATATTTTTTTCTAGAATTTGTAAATTTATACAATTAATATTTAAATATTAAATACCTGGTGTATATATATTTACAATTACTAATTAATAAATATTTGCAACGAGTACAGCAATAACGTTGGCGCACCTATTATTTTGTGGATTTTTCTGTTTACAAAGATGCGAAGAAAATGAAAAAAAAAATGATCCTCTAATGGGAGCACTAGTTGAACTTTTGGATAAACCGAAAGAGCTATTAGAACCCACCACAGTGCCATATTTGAATCCTTTGGTTCTAAGAAAAGAACTAGAAAGCGTCTTAAGCCAGGAAGGTGATTCATGTCTTACAAAGCATAAATTTATCGAGGAACATCCAATAGTGTACTGGAATCTCATATGGTACTTTGAAAGGATTAATTTAACGAGTCATCTCCCAGACCTGTGGCTGAATAATAATAAGAAAAAAGATCAAATAAGTTATGGTGTGGTAGGTGTTAAAACTATGTGGGATAACGAGAGACTTCATATGAATCGATTACCCATGTACCTTCAATGGAAGCTCAATATTACAGATGATAAAACGTAAGTAGTATGAGTAATGGATAATCAATATTTTCCATGTAAACCATGTTCACATAATTCTTTTTAATACTTATTATCAGTATGCCTTTCTGCTATAATGTTTTTATTTTGTATAATTCATTTTATACGAATTTTTAATCATGTAAATACGTATGATCTACATCTGTTTTAGGTTAATGCAGACAGTAATTACTTATGTTCGTCGAAATGACTTAGCGGAACCTATAAAAAGAGTGGCCTTAGAAAGAAGCAGAAATCAAGCACCTGACCAACCCCTATTTTCTATATATCGAGATATCTTGTTTTTAGCATTTACCATTTTGGGTAGAGGAAATATTGATCAAGGTAAATTGTATTTAGTAACTAACATACAACATACAACATATTTTGTCTGTTTAGCATTTTGTATTATTTTGTTCTTAAACTATCTAATTCGTTAATTAATTAATCAATCTTAAATATAAACAAACTCGGCATGTTTCAGGTGTTTTCGACAAAGAATATACTTTATCACTAGAAAGATTAACGGAAGGAGAAGAAAAGCTGTTGTGTAAAATTGATGCTCCGCCTTCGATGATGTCAGTATTCTGCAGACATTATTTTAAGCAACTCAGCGTGTAAAAATAATACAAACGGTATTAAAAAGGTGTAATATATTGTGAAAATGAATAGATTATCATGAAAATTATTACAGATTTATCTGTTCAGGTCTGATTTTCGATGCGAAACAAAATTTGTATCCTTCAAAATTGATAGGGAGTTACTTTTTTTTAGATAAACGTGTGCGATTAGTATGTTTAAATACACTAAGACTTTGATTTTTTAACGAAATACCCGTGAAGACACTGAAAGTCACAAATTCGCTTGTGGAGTAATACAATTTCCATATATAAAATATACAATTAATATAAATACTTTTTTATTTAGTAAATAGGTTGCCAATACACATTTTCGCGCATATAATTTCTTATGGCAATGTGAATATTATTAGTTGTATTTATGAACGTGATACTAAAGATCGTTCAGTACCAAAGAAACTGACTTGATCGTAAAACTATAAATTCAGTTGCTTTAATATGAATGCACTACACACCTAGCGCAATCACGATTTTCAATGTACATATATAATTGGCATATTTCTTACAATCTTTTGATTATAAACGTACTGATTTTAAGTAACCACCATTTTTTTTTTGTTTGTTAAGATATAACGTAATTTAACGTCCATATAATATGTATTACAAAAGACAATATTCATCTTCTTTTTCTTAGGTGGAACAGTCAGATAATTCATGACCAATTATTCAATTACTAACTTACGTGTTTACTATGAAAAGTGCTGTTTACATTTGTGGCACAAAAGTTTAATTTCATATTCATTATAGCGAGTTGAAGATTTTTAAATTAAACTCTATTTAAACTACCATACAATGACTTTTACATTATTGTTTGCGATTAAAAATGGATATTCCATTCTTTCTTTGCAAAATATGCTGCCCGTAACGCAAAACGTAACTTCTATAAAACGTTTGATGTAACTCTGACATATTGAAAGTGTTTTATTTGAATGATGATATAAGAAATTTAGAATGTTGTAAATTTAAGTTTTAAATACCCGATGATAACGAATATTTACTTTTACTTGATTTAAATATGTATACATTACTTGTTACAATAAAATTACAAATAACAGCTATGTTGTAATGAATATTTTAAATGATATCCAATTTTAATTTCAAATAAGTTTGTGAAAATAAGTGTTTTCTGCAAAATATTGCTTTGAAAGTATTTCACTTCAAAAACATTTAATAGAACATTGTATGTACCTGATATTTGTAAAACAATTTCTTTGCATAAATAAATTATATAATGCATTGGTTGTTAAAAATTATAGAAATGAAACATGGATATACAAGGTTGTACAACAAATATGTGACAGAGGGATAATGCCCAAACTATTATTAATACTAAGGAATCTTTCATGTAAAAAATAAGAGATGCAAAGTCACACATATTAAACAAGGCTACTATTTGTTGCTTTATATTATAATAAATAATCTTATATTATAGATCAATGAAATAGTTTCAATGTCAGCATTTATTATGTGCAAAAAGATACTGTGGTTCAATTTAAAATAATATCAATGGCCTGGACATAATCTCAGCACTTATACCAACAGATAATATACTAACATTATTTGATTGATTTGTACTTTGCAACTTATATATACATGAACATATTTTTTTTGTTTTAATAATAGTTTGAGCATTACCGCTCTGTACATATTAACTACTTCAACCTGTATATAGTTTAACATGACAATGTTATGCACTTTTCACTACGAACCCTGTAAAAAGTATACTACTGTATATTCGTTCATTACATTATTACATTATAAAAATAAGACATAAATAAAAGTCAGTCCTGGTATTGTACATAAATGAGTTTTTTTTATCTGTGTAGTTGTTGTAGTCACCTGTCTTTGACTAAACTCATACATGTCTTTATTAATGAAATATAATAATATCGTTATAAACATGTATTTTATCTTTATTCATCAAAATAACCCATATTAGGATCCGAAAATTAGAAATTTCTTCAGTAATAGAAAGCTACACTATCTCTGAGTAACATAGGCTATGTTTTATTTTGATAAAAATACGTTTACAATTTGAAGTCTCAAAATTTATAAATAAAGTCGTGGCATCAATATACCTACAATATTCATAATATGCTATTTTTATTCTATTCTCTAACTTTTAAAATCTGTAATCTCATAATAATTTAAGACAGATTAGACAAATTTAATTGAGATGACTTGGAACAGACGGAACACAATTGTGTGATTGATATTAAAATTCTGCATTGTCAGAATTATCGAAATTTGCAATTACTTTCTACAATATTACTAACATATAGGTCTGTCAATTTAGCTACGTGATCATGAAGCTCCAAGAACAAAAAAACATTAGGATTGCTGAAATTGTCATTAATAATATTTTCGGAAATCTCAGATATTATTCCATATTCCATAGATTGTCGGGAATCCCGGGTCCTTGCGGGATCTCGTATATTCTCGGGAATCCCAACTTATTTCGAGGTCCGCACAAACTCGAGAATCCCCGATATATACAGGGTTTTCCAAAGTGTTGGCGGTCCTTGAAGGGGGTGGTTCGGGGCAGAGATGGGTAAAACCCTAGACTTCAAATTTTTTCTGGAAAATGTTCAAACGAGGAAACTAGACAAACATATCGGCAAACTTCAGATTTATTTGAAGTCTAGGGTTTTGCCCATCACTGGCTTCAGGGAGTGATTTGGAACAACTTTTTCCTTAGCGAAAATGTTGTCCGAGGCTTCATTAGGAAGATATTAACAGAAAACCCCGACCAATCAGAGCGCGAGTATACCGGTTGAGCGTAGGCTAAGCGCTAGGCGGTCGCGCTCATAGGCTACCGCGGGCGCTCCACCAGTATACTTGCGCTCTGATTGGTCGGGGTTTTTCGTTAATAACTCCTCAACGAAGCCTCGAAAACATTTTCGTTAAGGAAAAAGTTGCTTCAAATCACCTCTCGAACCACTCCTTTCAAGGACCTCCAACATTTTTTTAACACGCTTATATCATGAAGACTGTATAAGGAGATCCAACTCCCTAAGAAAGTTACTAGAAAATTGTTATCAAAATCCCTAACTTGGAGTTTTGAATATTTCGTCCACTCGCGGCACAAGTATGCACAACTGCGATATATATCATATGTGTATGTATTATCATACATATATATGTATATATGTATATAACAGTTTCCTAGTAACTTTCTAGGGAGTTGGATCTCATACAGTCTTCATGTTTGCAGCGCTGTTTCTGTACACTAGCGGCAGCTTTCGTAAACGCGATAGCGAACATAGTGAAAACACGAAGCTCCGAAGCGCCACCTTTTCAGGTCTGGTCCATATTCTTTTCAGAACGGTCGAAACGCTGCGTTCGTGTTGAGAAAACGTGACCACAGAAAATATCGTGTGGCGATCGTGATTAGATGAACGGGTGTTATGCATGATATTGCATATTGACGTACATTAAGATTGTCGTGCGACGGCATGCAGTTGTCGAAATAAATTAGCCGCAGTTACACGGGTACGGGATTTTTCATAGTAACACGGGTATCTGAGTGCCGGCACATATCAATATACGCGAGCACGGAGGATTGGTTATTGAAAAAATGGCGGCGGAAATGCTAAACAAGAATCGTTTGATGGTTTTTAAGAATAAAGGCAAAGATCTAGATGTAAGTATCCAGTTTGCTCGTCGTTGAGTATAGTTATCTTCTGCGGCTGAGAAATGTTGCTTTCGTTTCGAGCGAACGATCGCGAGATCGCGGCTTCCACCAGTTTTTCAGAGATCGTGAAACGTATTTCTTCACTTTGTCGCTCCAGTCCAATTTTCGGACATTTCTGCGCGATTGTTTTCTACCCGGACACAATAATTCCAAATCGATCAATGTTAATGCCGTATTTGGAGCAAGTTCAAAGTGTCCTCGATTTTCGGACCATTGTTAAATGCGTCGTAAAAAAGGATATGATCCAATAGTTAGTCGTAAAAAAGGGGTGATTAACTTTTTAGAAATTATATTTCAAATTTTGCTGAAAATCTTAGCTGCATGTCCACAATAATTGTACTGCCAAATATTTTAATAATTTCATCATTTTTGTAATTACTTTACATTTTTATATTGTAATTGGAACGATAGTAAAGAACATCACGAACAATATTATAAGTCGCAAGACCGATTCAAACTCTTACACATGAAACATAATATCATTATCTTTATAGAGTTATAATTTGTTTATTTATGTTTGATCAATAATAATTGCATAAATAATATACAAAAATAATATCTATAATAATGTACACGTAAGTAAAATTGAACCTTTTTAGTTTAACATTTAATTGGTCATGCATTGGTCATGCTTGGTTTTATGAGTCATGGAACACTCATACATTTTGTTATATTTTTATTAATAAAATGACCTATAGTTTTGCAATTATATTGGATAAAAAATGTATAAGTTAGTTATAAAGTAGATAGATTGCAAGGAGATAGATTACATCCTGAGAAAGGACATAGGCTATATTTTATTTTGATAAAAATAAGTTTTCATTTCAAAATCTTAATATTTATAAATAAAGAATCAGAAATATCAATTGAAACATCTGTGTTATGGAAAACAAAAGACAATCACTCACTGGCTAACGAAGATTCACATGGTTGATCTGTCAGTCGAATGCAAATGACATAAAATACATTATTCACACACAGTTATACACAAACAGTATTCCACGTAGGCGAAACCACAAGGTGCAGCTAGATATTTAATAATTTTTACAAGTATGGTACTTTTTAACATATTTGCATATTTGACATATTGGATATGCTTTCCTATGTTATCAAACGTTCAAAGTAGATCATTTTTTGGAATGCGAATGATATTCTTGGCCACTATCAAGTAGCCCTAGAGGTTCCAAGTATATGAAATATAGTTAAGAACAAGTGGTCAACTATTTTAAAATATTCATTAGAAATATAATTAAAATATAATTAGTTTCTTGTTGTGACATTAAATTTGTTTTATAATATATTTTGTAAAATATGCTAAATACTTATTAGATATGGTATTTAATTTCAGGAAATTATTATTTGTTATCAAGTTGTACACAAGAGTTGAATTGAAGTTGAATAGATCTGTTTTTTTCAAAGTTGTATATGTAATTTTTTATAGTTTAGTTCTGTTACAGGAAATATCAGAATAATATATTTCATCGTGTAGTACTGATAATAATTTTTCATAATGCCAAAATTATACACAATTTAATATTAATGTTGTATCATTGATATATATTTATGAATTTGAAGGTCATATGAAATAGTAGAATTTATAAATTATAAATTCCTTCTTAAAATAGCATTATGCTTGGAAGACATTTTAATTCTACAAGAGTATAAATGATTTTTGATGTTTTAGTAAATATGAATAACAAATGCATGAAATCTTTCAGGAAATGAGAAGGAGAAGAAGCGAAGTGACAGTGGAATTGCGCAAGAATAAACGTGATGAGACTTTACAAAAACGAAGAAATGTGCCTATTACAGATTCTACAGGTAAATTTTTTGACAAGATTAATAAACACATATATATGTTTATCAATTTGATATAATTTATTACACATTATTATTATATATACAAAATATTCATATAAAAGTAATAATAACATTCGTTTTAGATGAAGAAGATCCTGATAAACATTTGTCGAAAATTAATTTGAAAGAGTTGGTAATGAATGCTGGTAGTTCAGATCCAGCTGTTCAATTAGAAGCTGTACAATCAGCAAGAAAGTTGCTATCGTCAGATCGTAATCCACCAATTGATCCGTTAATCGATAGTGGTATTTTACCAATCTTAGTTCGTTGTCTTGAAGATCACAATAGGTATGAGAGCACAAAAATTCATGCACAATTCGTATGATTATAAGACTTTATGCACATTTCCTAATCTATTTTATAGTCCATCTTTGCAATTTGAAGCAGCATGGGCTCTAACAAACATTGCAAGTGGTACATCACCCCAGACACAGGCAGTTGTAAAAGCTGGCGCAGTGCCCCATTTTCTGCATTTGTTACGTTCAAATCAACAGAATGTTTGCGAACAAGCTGTATGGGCTTTAGGTATGTAATCAAACATGAAAATAAAAGAAACGAAATTTTGTTAAAACTGTAAAATCTTCTCTAGTTGCACTTTTTAAATTCTCAATTAAATTCTAGCTTATATGTTACATGACATTACTTTTAATTCTTGGAATGTTTGAGTAAATTATGGTTCATCTCAACTGCTTGACATTTTGAAGAATACTATTATTTAAATATCTAAATTATGTTATCGATATGTACAAACTTAAACAGAAGTACTGTTGTATAGAAAAATATTGTAACCAAGTCGTTACTTGTTGTGTATAAACATCTATATTAGAATTTAAAAATTTATTTATTTTGTATATTCAATTTATTTTTATATCGACGATATTTTTATTTGCAGGAAATATTATTGGAGATGGTCCAACATCTAGGGATTATGTTATTGGACTTGGCATTGTACAACCATTGTTAATATTTATCAATCCGGAAATACCTATCAGTTTTTTACGTAATGTAACATGGGTGATCGTGAACTTATGTAGAAATAAAGATCCACCGCCACCTATGCAAACAATTAAGGATATTTTACCTGCTCTTAAGATACTCATCCAACATACAGATATTAATGTGAGTGACGGAAACGAAACATATAAAAAACTAAAATATTTTGTTACATGCAATGTGTGTTGCAGATCCTTGTTGATACAGTTTGGGCATTAAGTTATCTCACCGATGGTGGTAACGAACAAATTCAAATGGTCATAGACAGTGGTGTGGTGCCTTGTGTTATACCACTTCTCTCGCACAAAGAAGTTAAGGTACAAACAGCTGCTTTAAGGGCAGTTGGTAACATAGTAACGGGTACAGATGAACAAACACAGGCTGTGTTAAACTCTGATGCGTTGTCGCACTTTCCCAACTTATTGACTCATCCGAAAGAGAAAATCTGCAAAGAAGCAGTTTGGTTCCTTTCTAACGTAACTGCTGGCAACCAATCGCAAGTTCAAGCTGTTATGGACGCAGGGCTATTGCCGCTTATTATTCGCAATTTGGAGAAGGTGAAACGACATTCTTTATAAAATTATCGAAAGCCCTTAAGGTAAAATAACTTTAACGATATATTTTCTAACGATCAGGGTGAATTCCAAACGCAAAAAGAAGCAGCATGGGCAATTAGCAATTTAACGATAAGTGGTAACAGAGAACAAGTTGTGCAGCTTATACGAGAAGGCGTCATTGGACCTTTTTGTGACCTCCTTTCCTGTAAAGATACTCAAGTTGTACAGGTTGTTTTAGATGGTATACATAACATGCTCAAACTTGCTGGACCACAAGTTGAACAGCTGGCTAATATGATAGAAGAGTGTTTAGGTTTGTAGCATCAAGATCATTCTTTTAGTACATTGTTTACAGTATTTATTTACATTCTTTAATATGGGTTTACAGGTTTGGATAAAATCGAAGCACTGCAAAATCATGAAAATGTAGAAATTTATAAACTAGCGTATGATATTATCGAGCAATACTTTTCCGAAGAGGTGTGCACTAATTTGTATTTAGTATTTTTATTTCCTTCATTGTCTTCCGACATTAAAATATATATATATTTCGTAATGATTTTAGGCGGATGACACGAATTTGGGGTCACAGGTCGGAGAAGGTACATTTGAGTTTGATCATACGTCGACTATTCCGAGTGAAGGTTTTAAATTCTGAGAGGGCCTCCATTATTTCTTATCCGATCGTGCCGTCCCCCGACAAACTCCATTACGGAGCCATTCTGCTTACCCTTTCCTATTCTTATGTCTCATTCTTGCTCTAATGTCAACACGTGGCAATATCAGTATGCCACCGCTGAACCAAGAATCATGTTTTTTTTTTTGCTAATCCAAAGGCATAACAGTGACTGATTGACTTTTTCCCTATAGAAGGGATATCAGAACGATGCAAGGGCAAAAGTTACGGAGCGAAAGAGTTTCTTACTGAAACGAGAGTCTGTATTCTTTTGTTTTCTTTCTGATTCTTCAACGCATGTATATTACCTTTTTTTTTTTAAATCGCACATACACAATATCTGGCGGAGCGGAACTTAGCCGGACGCAGCTAGGGATATGCAACGTACCAACTAAATTATTCTAGTGTACTCTTTATTTGCTCTCTAAATCGAGGAGCAACAGATAAAAAAAGAAAAAGAAATGAAGTAAAAAAAACCTTTTTATTGCTTGATCACGCTGCTGTCCACTCTAACTCGAGATGAGTCTTGGTTAGCGATGTTACATTTATAAAATAATTCGTGTATATTTTAGGCATGTTAAATTTATAATAATATTGATTACTAAATAAATGAATCGATTGACTACTCTTTATTAGTTTAATTCATATCTATGGATCATTTCTGTAAGAAGAAACAAACGAACAATAAAACGATAATGTTAATTTGACAACATTTACTGCCAATCTTTAATTGAACTTTTGATCGTGCAAAAAAAAAGACAAAAGAATTTAATCATTTTCATGAAACGATATATCTGTATTATAGAAATGTCTCTTTATTGATAATCTTGTTACAATTATGATTCAGGTGTGAATTCGATCGTGACATCTTTGAACGTGTGAACATGATTAGCATGAATATCTTCAAACCGTGTATCTTTGTTGACGTTCGGTAAACTGTAGAGAATTGCGGCGAAATTGTTCTTTGAAAGGAGTAATGAATCGTAGAAATAGCACATAGTGTTTGTTTTTCTTGGTACATTTTAAACTAACACCCAATGATAATATATTTGTTCTTTATTCATAGTATTTGTAGAACAATTTTCATTGGTAGTAATATTAATCTTTTTGCAACAAAACATTCTCATTGATCATTATTATAACTTTATACATTGTTGTAATTTGCTGTTTATTTCTTTAAGATGGCTGTCTTCAGCAAAACGAATATTCGTCAATATTTTTATATAGCAAAAGAATACTGCAAAACTATTATATCTTTAGTTTCCTTTATATGGTGTACTTCTTGTATTGCGATTATTTACAAGTGCGAGTTGAACGCACAAAAACCATGTTTTTCAAGTTGTGAGAAATGATATGTAGTGGCAACCTTGTTGGGTCTCGAATCGAATCGCTAATTTTTTGGATTTAACCAACGTAAAGTACAACAAATTGAACAACTGAATGCTTGTTATTTTCTTTCCATCACCAAAAAATAAGCGTAATTCATTCCAATTGCATAGTTTTATGATATATGTACTATTATCTAAACTCGTTTAAAGAGCGAAACTTGTAAATCTTCCTTGATACGATTAGTTTATGATTACTTTGATAAATAAGACATTTAATTTAAAGAACATTATTTTTCATTTAAGTTCATTCTAAATATTTAAAGAAAATATAGTAGTTTGTTAAAAAAAACAGCGTTTTACAAATTAAGAAAAACTGAAAAATTAAAACTTGATGAATCAATTCTTAAAGTCAGAAGTTTGAAATCATTTATAATTGGAATGTAAAATTATATTTGTCTGTTTCGTCAAGAGAGATTAGCGCTAAAGTATTATTCCTTTGAATAACTACAGACGTACGAAAAATGAAGGGAATTTAAAACATCATTTTTGGAGCAAAAATTAAATTTATATTGATAAACGCATTTATTACATTACTTAGTCATTTCTGAATAAATTTTGCTTGCACAAATGTACGAAATTGTGTAGAGAATCATTTGATAATGACATCAATTTTTCGTGTTACTGACGCAGTGGGTCAGATGTCACATCTAGTCAAACCTGACTTTATCTAACACAAAGAATTGCCAGACTCCCCCCCCTTCCAACCTCCCACCAGCCGCGCGCCATTTTTCCCATGTTAAAGGCGCATCCACATATAGCCCTTGTCATGAACATCTTAGCCAAAGAGTACAGGGTGTCCCAAAAATGTTGTAACTCCTCGAAAGGGGTCGTTCGGGGGGTGATTTGAGACAACTTTTTCCTTAGCGAAAATGTTGTCCAAGGTTTCGTTAGGGAGATATTAAGCGAAAACCCCGACCAATCAGAGCGCGAGTATGCCGGTTGAGCGTAGGGTACGCGATAGGCGGTCGCGCTCATACGCTACTGCGGGCGCTCAAACGGTATACGCGCGCTCTGATTGGTCGGGGTTTTTTGTTAATATCTACTTAACGAAGCCTCGGACAACATTTTCTCTAAGGAAAAAGTTGTTTCAAATCACCTCCCGAACCACCCCTTTCAAGGTGTTACAACATTTTTGGGATACCCTGTAGTTCAATGATTGGCTGCTACTAGGAACTTTCTAAGACTTCCAGAGATGGGGAAAACCCTAGGCTTCGAATAAATCTGAAGTTTGCCGACATGTTTGTCTCATTTCCTCTTTTGAACATTTTCCAAAGAAGAAAACGAGACAAACACGTCGGCAAACTTCAAATTTATTCGAAGTCTAGGGTTTTTTCCATCACTAGGAAACAGTTACTAGTTACTACAAAAATCTTTATTCCCCATTGTATCTGTAAAAGAGATCAGATATTATGCAATATTATACTAATGAAAGTCTGTAACGATCGTGTAACGTTTTTTTTATTATTATAATTTTATAATATCAGTAGTATTTATACGATTAATTATAATATTATTCTAAAGTCCTTAAGGCATTTCCATGTAAACATATAACTAAAGAGGACGCTTTACAAAACAATACCGAGTTTCGTTGTCGACGAACTCGGTATACGCACAATTTGTGACTTAACAAGAATGTAATCAACGTGGACTCGCATGTAAGTTTGGCAAGTGAATATTGAGGTTATTGCTCTTTAATTCAAAGAGTTAACGAGATGTTTGAGAGTAACTCGAATAAAAACATAAGAATGCGTTATTGTTGAGAAAATACATTATATCATTGTCTTAATTAAAAAAATACATGAATAAACGTATTTTTGCATGTTAATTTTGAAAACTCGTAATCAAAGTATTCGTTGGCGTAATAAATTATACAAAAATGAAAACTGATTGACATTAGGAATAGATTTCAAAGTAATAGTGAAAGAATATATTCTGCAATTTGTTTGAGTATACATTTACAATGTTTACTATTAAATGCAAGAGTATAATTTTATTTACGATTATAATAACTTTATGCATCGCTATTTATCACACTTATTCATTGTATTACACCATAGCCGCCAAAACTGGCCAATGAGTGGGCTGATTTCGATATATTTGAATTTCAAATTAACCAATCAATGATTTAATTCTGGAAACAATTTTGCTTCGTTATGTATACGAGATCGTATTTATTTATTTTACTTCGAATCGCACGCCCCCTATTGTAACATACATTTGAAATGTTATACGAAAAATAATTGAAAACATATCTTCTACTATGTGTATATGAATATATAAATTAAAATATAATCTCCATAAATGTTTTTAATTCGATATTTTTTGATTTTGCAATGAATCTTGTAATGAACGAATACCAATACAATGTCATTATTTGATCGCAGCGTCATTAATCTGATACTTCCCTGTCGATATGTGGCATCGTTCATGCATTTTATGGCTACATAATTTATTTACATATCATTAATAACAGTGACATTTAAATAGAATAGAAATTTTCCTTCTTCGTTCGAAAAGAATGTCTTTATCGAATTCCATTAAAATTCGTAAAGTTCATAATAATAGCGCACGTTTGGCCGATAATGTCGCGTTTAAAACGTTGGAGTTTTCGGAACACTTGTCTTTTTTTTTTTATTGGACCAAGAGGGCGCTATAGGGCTGACGTGTTTTTAGCCGCGGAAGAGCGAAAATGGCGAAATCGAAATTTGCAAAGTGCGCGAAAATACTCGTCAGTATCGGAGCCACGTTTCATTGAGAAAGTCGACGCTCGACGTATTACATACTAGGGAAAGTTAATTTCGTAATAGCGATCAACTTATCATTCTCGCTTCGATTTCAGATTTTAATACTAAACGACCTTTGGGTCTGTTTGTACACAGCGGTGCGTAGTGCACTGTGGGACAGCAATGGTGGGCGCGTGATTTTGAACAAATTCGTGCTATCGAGGGAACACCCAGGTACGTGTTAGAAAGAGGTTTCAATTACTCGTTGAACAACGCAAGTGAAATTTGAATTTCTGAAAAGCGTATTAACAACTGTTTCGAATATCGGTACAATAATTAAAATGAGCTTCGTGGCACGCCCCCACCCAGCACTGTACGTACCTGATATGAACTGATAAGTTATAGGTTAAGTCGAGTTTTGTCCGATATTAAAACGAATATCGGCGAGATGTATATTTTACATTGTCGTTTGTTGCGTTACGCGTTTTATTTCTCTCTGCGTGTCGATGTCGAATCGCTTTGATGCTACTAAAAACGTTAAAATACTGGCAGAAATTCAGTTCGTGGAAAATGGCGCGTTCGAGTAATAAATGGCGCTAATGTTCCTGAGTAGACTATCCTTCGAATTTTTCTTCATTATTCAAATTTTATCGTTCGAATTTTCGAAAGTTCAAATTTTACTTGATCCTTGCATTGTTGTGACCATCCATAAACAATTCCGTTAAGTCTCGTGTTTCGGGAATTCATATTTACTTTCTAAAGATTTGAATTTTTGAATTTTTAAATTCTCACTGATTCACTTCGTTTTCACATCATTTCGTAAATCGTTTTACGTTTTACTGTTGATTTGCTGTATTTATTTTCATACGTAGCCTTCTGATGTACGAAGCTTTACGTGAAAACGATTTAGATTCTTTGAATTTCTAACCTGCATATGCATGAAGTACATGTTTATAATGGAAGATACAGACATCTGGAAAACTTTTTTTTTAAACATAGGCAAACTCGTTTTAAGTGTACATGAATATACACGATATTAGAACGTTACATGTTATTAGGATGGTTTAAAGTTCATAACTTGACAATTTGTAGTAGGATACAAGTATTACACTTACAAATCAGTTCGTCGCATGTTACCTTCGTTCTTAGTTATGTAATTCATTGGTGATTGTTGTTTACACTTCAATGATTTTTATGAGAGTAATGCATATAAAGAAACGTTTCTTTCATGCAAATATACATATGTTACAAATTCAAACAGTGCTTTTATTTATAATTATTCCATTATGGACACAATTTATATGAATGGAAATAAAATCAAATATATCAATAAAATGAAAAATTATATTATAAATTGTATTATTAATTTACATAATATAACTTTATACAATTGTGCGTGTAAATTTCATGAACTATACATTGAGAAATTAATGCATTTAATACTTTTAAGAATAATATCTATACTTAGTTAAGTTATAAACAAATGTAAGTAGTTATAACAAGTAATGTTTTGAATAGGAACGTAATCATGTCTATAAATAAAGGGCAGAATGTTAGAGCTTTGGTTGAACCATTAGCTCTTGATTCACGTACACTTGGAGATGGAGACTTGAGTGCATTGACTCTGTCGCATAATAACGAACAATATTCTAACGACTTTGAGGCATTTGCAAACATTCAAGCTGAATTGGAATGTATGAATGCTGAAGAAGTTATGACAACAGAGGAGGAGCATATAATAGTTGAACGTAGTATTGAGAATGAAATGATTGTACCTGATGTGGATATGGCTGAAGTATCAGATCAAGTTCAAGGAGAACATATTATCTATACAACAGCTAATCAGAATAATCAAAATATTATATTCCAAACAAAGCCAACATTGCAGAGGCTTCCAGCATCTACAGTGCAGGTATAAAATCTATAATTACAATGTCTAAAGCAAATACCAATGATATCTCTTATGAAGTTATAATTTTACTCTCATAATAGGTAAAGTCAAATGTTGGTCCAGCGACACAAAGCCAGTCTATTATGATAGTATCTCCTGCTGGTGGTCAAGGCACAAGCCAAATTTTAAAAATTTCCCATCCATCAACAGCATCAGCTGGTCAATTACAGTCGTTAGCTCAGACTCTCATAGCAAAGTCTGCTGAAGGAAATATAGTTCAATTGAGATCAGCACAACCTAAGCCTGTAATGGCAACTAGCCATTCGGGAAGCATTACATTAGGAAATGTTCACAATGCAAAAACAGTTCAATCAGCTATAAAGCGATCTGCGCAGGGTTCTCAACAAAATCGAAATGTAATATCGTTCTTTCTAAATTCTCAATACTTAGACACTAAATAATACTAATATGTGACATACTATACATTTTGTAATATTATTTTAGGTATATACAAAGATGATATTAGCTGGAAATCAAGCACAATCAGGACAGCAAGTTCTTATAACTAGTTCACAGAATGAAAATCAGCAAACACAAGCAATAAAATTTATAAATAATAGTGTATCGAGTCAAGATGTCACAGCTCCAACGAAAACTATAACATTGGCACAAGCACAGCAAATGGGATTACTTCCTACTAATAAAGTTCAACACATTCTACCCTCATCACCGCAAAACAAAGTGGGTATTGAAATCTATTATATTCATCATTTTTCCAGTAGTTGTGTATATTAATATAATAAACATAAATTCGTATTTATTACTCTTAAAGGGAATAATTGTTAATAAACTAGTGCAATCATCAAATACTCAACCGACTAAAATGACTATAGTTCCAAGCAGTACAATTAAATCCCCTACAAAAATATTACCTGCTCCAACATTGAGTACGCAAGTCAAATCATCGCTTTCGAATCAACAATCCACGTTTTCTTCCTCTAATAAATCTATTCAACAAAATCCACAAAAAGTGATTATACGACAGGTTAGTTAACTTATGATTTTATTGAAATTTATTTTTTTTTTTATGAATTGCAAAGTGTTTCTAATCGTATAACATTTATCAGAGCTCTTTAAAACCTGGAACTGTGCTTGGAAGTGGACAAGTTATTAGAATACCAGCTAATCAAAATATCGTTACTGGATCTAATCAAGTACATCAAATACAAATGCCAGGAAGACAAGTAATTATTTTTTTATTTTTATAAATCCATTATAATAGCACGTTCTGTATAATTGAGAAAATATTTTTGTTCAAGGTGCAATATGTAAGATTAGTTAGTACTCCATCATCTGGAACTACGAATGTCGTTACTGTGGGGAAAACGAAGTCACAAACAAGTTTGCAAACTGTCGGTGTCAGTCAGAAAATAGGAAATCAACAACAAATTGTTAAGGTTTGTAACAATAGCAACAACTTGTAATTATTTAAAAAAAATTGTATTAGACTGTCGTATATAATGTGTTTTTTTTCCAATTGTGATATAGGTAGTTCCATTAAATACTAGTAATCAATCGTTAAGAACAGTTGCACCTAAGGCTACGTTAACGAGTAGCAATCAAAGATTATTAATTCCCGCGACTGCAAGTGTAGGTAATCAATCGAAAAATGCGGTAGCAATTCCGGCATCGGCTTTGAGCCAATTAGCATCTGGGCAGGCAGTCCTTTCAACTAATTCAAATATGGGAAACATTGTAGTTCTACCAGCTCAATATATTCAGCAACAGGTATGATATATTGCATATGTGATTAAAAAAAAAATAAGTTAACTATATCGGTCAGGAATAATCTCTGAGAAATAGCAGTAATTTAAAGAGGTATATAATGTTTTTACAGTCAACGGACGAAGTAAAAATGAAACCTCAAGTTACGCCCAGTTTGTTAGGAAATTCACAAAGCTTACAAAGTTCTACAGGAAGTTTATCTGTAGGATCTATCGTAGAAAGTAAAAGTTCTCAAAGATCCTACGCTAGCGTCGAGCCTAATGGTATTAGGCCGAGAAAAGCGTGTAACTGTACTAAATCGCAATGTCTTAAATTGTGAGTATAATATATACCAGCACTATTAAGCCTTAATTTTAAAGTAACTCTTCGATGTTTGCTTGTACTATTATCACTGTTATTACTGTCATTCATCTTTAAAAAATTGAGCATCAACTCTTTGCTTTTTTGTTATCTCGATAGAAAAATGACGATCGGTACTGATATACATAAAAATGTATCTTTAGTTGAAAGATTTGTTTTGTGTTGTAAGTTAAGAAATAATCGTATCGTTGATAAAGAGAAGTTTTGAATGTACCTTGATAAATGAAAGTGGTGAATGATGAATATATTTTGTCACAGATATTGTGATTGTTTCGCTAATGGAGAGTTTTGTCATATGTGTAACTGCAATAATTGTTCTAATAATCTTGGAAATGAAGAAGAGAGGCAACGCGCTATCAAATCTTGTTTGGAACGTAATCCAAATGCATTTCGTCCAAAAATTGGCAAAGGCCGCGAGACTGGTGATGATATACGGAGACACAATAAGGGTTGTAATTGTAAACGTAGCGGATGCTTAAAGAATTATTGTGAATGTTACGAGGTACTGCAGATGGTTCTATATACGAATTATAAATATTTTTGAAAGCGATGAAATTACTTCCAGTAATACAGAATAATCTCTTTTTTTTTTAAGGCTAAGATACCCTGCTCTGCTAATTGCAAATGCATAGGATGTCGAAATGTTGAAGAACCTAACTTAGAAAAGAAGTCCCTAAAGGACCTAGCAGAGGCAGCTGAAGTTAGGACGGCACAACTTACGTTAAATAAAGCGAAATTACAATTATCGGAAATGGCTTTTAGACCACCTGCTGCATCAAATACTGGCGCGAGGTAAATCCATGATTATAGTAAATATAATCAGTAGACATTATTTGAAATTTAATGGCTGTTAAAATTGGAGCTTGTCATCCTCGAAGAAAAGTGTAAATCACTAGATGTTGTTTTATGGAAACAAATGGTTCTAATGAAAAAGCATTTTAACAACCATTATCAATGTTGGTTTTTACAGTTACAATATCTATATCATGTTTAATTGTTTCATTTTTGATACTTTGATATTCGTATTTTTTTTTTAGACAACCATTCAATTTCTTGACCGATAAAGTAGTAGAAATAACGTGTCAGTGTTTAATGGCACAAGCTGACGAAGCGGAGCGGAACATGTTCGACGATGAAACATCTCAAAGACTTATAATCGAAGAATTCGGCCGTTGCTTGAAGGAAATCATCGAGTCAGCGCATAAAGCTGAAGCTACCTAGCAGGTACATTTTCAGGAAAAGTGTAATGGTGAAAGTTTTCGGTTCTCGCGCGCGTATGCAGCAGTTAGAAAATTGGAAACATTAATTGTTGGTACTTCCTAATCTAATAATTTGGACATAATAATTACGAAGCAAAATAAAGTGTTATATACCAAAGATAATGGTAAATATGCTACAACATAATACGTTCAACCGATTGTTATTATTACTAAATGAATATGTAAAGAAGAAAACTATTTTGTATGCAAAAAATAATTTAATTTACTTACTCTTCAAATTAATTTTGTATAATATCATTAATATACGATTATGTGGAGTTGACAAAGTTTGTAACTTAATCATTTTCGTTTTTATTTAAACGAGATGAAAGTAACTTTGATACGAAATTATGTACATTGTCTTTCTATATAACAATTTGTAAAAAGAAAATTAAAAGTAACACGGTTGAATGCAATATGTTAATAAGATTTGTAACAAAAGTTTATAACATTCGATGGTACAAAAATTGTTTATATATTTGTCGCCCACATTTGAAAAATGAAGATTTTATTGAAAATTTAGGTAAGATGCTAAAGTAGAAGGTATAGATTTGCGCATCTATTAGGTAGTATTGGTATACTAATCATATTTTTATTTTATGTCATGTGTTTTCATTAGTGTCAATATTCAGAGTTCTTTTTTTATAGCTAAAATGCATGCATCTATAAACTGTAAGTAACAAGAATTTGATGGAGTACCAAGAATATTTGATTTTTGGTGTCAATGAACAATATAAATGGTGAACGTAAAATTCAACAATTTAATTTCACAAATGAAATAAATTATCTTTAAATGATATATTATAATTTCATATTGTATGATGATTTCTCATATCTATTTTTATTTTTCTTAGAGAATAAGGACTATAAAAAATGAAATTAAAATAATAAATTTGTTCATGTCTGTGGTCATTATTACAAAAATTTGAAAACTGTTAGGTTTTATTCAATAATGTTCGACAGTTTCTATTCGACGGTTAAAACGCAACTAATGCTATTCGAATACATTTATATTCTAACAAAAATCTTGAGTTAAAAAAAAAATAAGATACTTAAGTCATTTGTATATGACATGGCATTTTTACAATTTTGTATGTACAATCGTTTAAAGTTTGATTTTTCATTTGTAATTAGTATGTATTGATTTCTTTTTCATCTATTGCTTATCTGTGGCATAATACATTGTCCATAGATGAATTATTACATTCGAAGTAATTTTGTAGACTTTTCGTAAAAATATATTTCACACGTTTATTTATCGATTCTGTAATTATATATAACGTCACAAGGATTCTAATTCCAAATTAGTAAAATCGTTCATTACATTCACATTTACATTAATTTTGTTTAAATTAAATTGCAGGTGTACTTTGATACATATGCAATTTTCAATACTAAGTACTATTTAATTAATTAGCGATACAGTAAATAATATTGCCCCGAGGACGAAGGTATCCTGACAATGTAATTTTCTGATGTATGTTTAACAGGACAGACGCATTAATACTTTTCATTGTGTACTGAATTAATCATCACTATAGTAGAAACACTATTTGTCTGCCGTTAGGGGTGATCCAAGTATAACTTATACGTAGGAAATTAATTTAAAGTATAGAAAGTTTATATATTATACATAGTGTAGTATAAGGACAAATGTAATATAGAGGTACAAATATAAATATATATTCGTAGAATTCGTACTTCAAAGAACGTTATTTTAAGTATACAAATTGTACAGATTATTGATTCGTAAAATAATTAGAAAAATGATTATGATAATGAAATATTAATTACATGTTTTTATTTCTTACATGTCATTTACATAACAAGTTGAATGGAAAAGAATGACTTTTAAATTAATGCTAAAAACTTTTGCAAAAAAATGCTGATGTATATGTATAACAAATTACTGCTATGTACAGATAATATACGTATATCTAAATATATCGTTGTAATTTGTCTTCTGTACATAGAAAAAATCTGATATCGCTGAATTAAATAAATAATTTATTCCTTTATTTTAGGAAAATTTATTTAAACTAGATAATTTCATAATTTCATTGTACAACTAATATGTAAAAAGTTTTAACTGATTTATAAATTCGAGTATAATGTAAATAGACAATATATGAATTATAAAAATATTCATTATGAATAGTTTGATATCAGATTTTTCGAGAAATAGTGTTATTTAAATAACACTACAATGTACGTATGAAGAAAATGTATATGTATATACATGTCAAACACATGTACCTTTCAATAAATCTTATGTTTACATTAAGTGCAGTTCACTGAAATATGTACAAAAAAGTTTTTACTTTAAACAAGTGTATATGTTTCGTGTATCGTACAGGCTTGTGTTAAAATTTCACTACTTTTTTAGATTTCTTATTAGTTTTCTCCTCGACTATCTTCACATTCTCTTCTAAAGATTCTAAATTACCATTTGCAATTGAGTTTACAGTAATGGTATTTTCTTCTTTTTCTTTAATTAAATCTGGGCAATCTTTTTTTAAATGTGTGACATCTCCACAGACTTTGCAAGAACCTCCTTGAGGATAAACTCCTTTAGGATTATCAGGACATTGTTTAGCAATGTGTCCTTGCTCTCGACAAATGAAACAAGTAGCATATCTAAATTCTGTTGGCTTAGCTACTTTACATTCAAAATGAGTATGTTCTGTTGATCCACATTTAAAACAGATTCCAGTTCCTGCTTGTTCTATTCCAAGTTCAGGACAATCTGACAAATTGTGACCTGCTTTTCTACAATGGAAACAGACACACTTCCTAATACGTGCTAATGCTTTCTCTGCTTTTCTTCTTTCTAGCTTTATTGCTGCATCTGTTTCCTTCTTTGGAATACCTGCAAAAACAAGTAAAATATAATATGAAGAAAGTAGAAATATACACTGTATAAATATATTCACCTTTCATGATCATTTTTTGTTTCAGTTCATGTAATCGTTCTGCATCTTCTTTTCTAACTGGAAACCCACCAAACTTAACAATCTCTATTTCAACACCATTGATAACTACTTTTGTAGGACCTAAATCTGCTTTCCTTCTTTTGTGCTCTTTATCATCCCTAATTTTAGGAGCTTTCCTTTTATTAATTCTATTATTTTCAAACTGTTTTGTATGAAATTTATTTGGATTATTAACAAATTTTTTATTAAATTGTTTGGTGACATGGATGTTTTCTTCGTGCTTATTTGTTTCAGTGTTTTGATTATTCTGTCGTTCTCCATTATTATTGTTATTTTTAAATTTTGTCTTTAGCTTAGTAGTATTTCCATTTGTTTCCGATGTATTTGTATTAATATTGTTCTTCTGTTTTCTCATATTATGCTTCTGATGTTTAGGTAACATATCTTCCTTCTCCTTTGTTGTATTATATGTATCATGTGATGCATTTTGTTTACCTTTGTCAAGTTTTGAAGCATTACTGCTTTCTATCAATGTATCTACAGACTTTCCATCACTATGTTTCTTTTTTTTAATTTTATTTAATTTACTATGATTTGCATCTGCTTCATTAGTTTTTACATTAACCTCATCAATAGAATGATTGTTTTGGGTACTACTTATGTTGCCAGATTGATCCTTGTCTTGTTTACGCTTTTTAAGTTTGATGTTTGTTGTAGAATTATCAACTTCACTGATATTCCTCTTTAAAGATGACTTCTTTTTATCTTTAACATTTACATGTGTTTTATCTTCATTACAAATTTCAACAGTGTCTGAAAGCATACTTTTATTCATCTGAAGTATATTTGAATGTACAGATGCTTCTTGCTTTTTTTTGGTTTTCTTCTTCACTGGATACTTACTTTTTGTCATAGAACTTTCTTCAAATTCTGCCCAGTCATTATTAACATTACCAACATCGCAGTAAAATAAATTTTGTTTGTCTTGTAAAAGTTCTTTTGCAGATTTATTTCTTATCAAATGTTCTTGTTGTTTGGCCACATTCTCTGTTAATTGTTGCTTCATTACATGCCATGGTGTAGCATCATTAGGTACTCTTTCATTAGAAGCTTTCGAACCTTTTGCTCGTGCAAATCGAGTCATTTTCTAAAAGGATTTAAAGTGAATTAACCTCTGCTTTTAAGTTTATAATAATATTGAATAAATACTTAATGAAAAAGTAGATTATGAAACATAGATTGTATATCAAATTTAGATTTCTTAGAAGTAACAATACTTTTAAAGATATTTTGTTGTGAACAAATATTTCTCTATCCTAACTCATATGTTGATTACATTTTTATTTTAAGTGACAATTTCAGAATAAATACAAAAATAATTATTATATCCCATCTAGTTCGTTATTTTTCCTTTTACATAGATTGATAAACATATTTTACCGTTTACTAAAAGTGCATGAAGTTACAAAGACTAATAAAAACAGTAATAATTGGTATCTAATAACAACTTTGTTACACGTGAAATAACCTCACATTATTACACGTGAAAAATAACGATAAAGATCCCTAGGCTCTGCCGCTTCTTACGCAGCTGTTGGCAGCTGTTGCGCAGCGAGAAAATTCATACATTGGCAGGGTTCTCATCAAACAAAGATTACATCTTCAAATCACTATACAGGGTGTCCCAAAAATGTTGTAACACCTTGAAAAGTGTGGTTCGGGAGGTAATTTGAAACAATTTTTTCCTTAGCGAAAATGTTGTCCGAGGCTTCGTTTATGAGATACTAACGGAAAACACTGACTAATTAGTGGGCGCTCCATTGGCATACTCGGGCTCTGATTGGTCGGGGAGCGCACAGCCTACGCTACCGCGAGCGCTCCACCTTGATACTCGCGCTCTGATTGGTCAGTGTTTTCCGTTAATACCTCCTCAACGAAGCCTCGGACAATATTTTTGCTAAGGAAAAAGTTGTTTCAAATCACCTCCCGAACCACCCCTTTCAAGGTGTTACAACATTTTTGGGACACCCTGTACTTTGTCCAACTAGACAAAAATTTGAGGCAAGCAAATAACAGTGCTTTCCAATTGCAATATCCCTAGACACTTTCCGCGGGCTCGGAGGAGAAGAGATATCCGATTTTGGTAAATTTCCCCTTCGACAGCAATTCTCTCCGCTTCTGCGATGGAATTCCCACTAATCAGTTTTTGTGGTTCATGGTCGTAAGCGCGCAAAAGTAATTTCGGGTTATTCATGTAGAAAAGATGGTGGTGACGGCAGCTGCTGTACGTCAACAACTCACGAATTTAGCGTATTCCGGTGGCTCTCATAAAGATCAAGCAGAAAAGTAAGCCTATAAACTAGGATCAAAAACTTACCTTTTAAAATACTTGGTGTAAACGATGACACTTTTAGGTATCGAGTGATTTTGGACTCAATACTATCATCATCCGGCGAAGAATTGGTTGATGCTTTAAAGATATTCATTGAAGCAAGTATGTCACTTTTCTTTACGTATATATTCTCTTGTAACAGGTATGCAAATACATATTTCAAGAACTGACGCGATGAAAACAATCTGTAAAGGACTATTACACATTTCATAAATACAAAAATATCTGTATCACTCATAGTCACCATCATGTGTACAATAATATATTAATAGATTACATATTTTATTCATTTATAGCATATGCAAATATGTAGAACATATAATTGTAATTATTTGGGAAATATTTATCTATGTACAGTTTATATAGTATCCACGTATTATTATGTAGTAAAATCCTTAATTTGTATCATAATTGCATAACGTATACTAATGTTTTTATTTTACAATTTATAAGTTAAAAACTAAATTGCTATATTGATGTAAGGATGAATCATTTTATTTTCCAGTTGTAAACGAATATGTAAGTTTGGTGATCTCAAGACAGGTTTTGACAGACGTCAGTAATCGTTTGTTACTTTTACCTGATGAGATATCTAAGGCTGTTTCACATTACACATTGGACAAAGTAAGATATTTTATTATACTTATAGGAAATCTGATTGTATGTAATATATACTATAGTAAAATGTTATACTCTGTCTTCAGATACAACCACGGGTCATCTCTTTTGAGGAGCAAGTCGCTAGCATAAGACAACATTTAGCAGATATTTATGAACGTAATCAAAATTGGAGAGAGGCAGCTAATGTTTTAGTTGGAATACCATTAGAAACAGGGCAAAAGTAAATAACAATATTATCATTATTTGTTCTAAAATTTATAGAAAATCTGAATTCAATGCTTCTATATTTACATTGAAGCAACAACTTTGATCACCTTAATTATCCACAATATTTTTATGACATGGCATTTAAAAATACGTATTTTTTCATTTCTTTAAAAATACGAGAGATAATTAGGGTGATAGAAGTTTTACTAAATGCTTAATAATTATGATGATGATTATTTACAGGCAATACACAGTTGACTATAAACTTGAAACTTATCTTAAAATTGCAAGATTGTACTTAGAAGATGATGACCCAGTACAAGCTGAAGCATTTATCAATAGAGCATCTCTTTTACAAGTATGTACTACACTTTTAAACATATATGTCAATATAATATTTCATTTTCTATTTTTGTTAGGCTGAATCCAAAAATGAACAGTTACAAATTTACTACAAAGTCTGTTATGCTAGAGTATTAGATTACAGAAGAAAGTTTATCGAAGCAGCTCAAAGATACAATGAATTATCATATAGATCTATTATACATGAAGATGAACGTATGACTGCACTTAGGAACGCTTTAATTTGTACAGTACTAGCTTCTGCAGGCAAGTATTTAACCATATTAAGTGTGGTGTACATACATGGATAATGTTTGAATGTAATTTCAAAACTAGGACAACAAAGAAGTCGTATGTTAGCAACCTTGTTTAAAGATGAACGTTGTCAACAACTTCCTGCATATTCGATTCTTGAAAAAATGTATTTGGACCGTATCATTCGACGCTCCGAACTACAAGAGTTTGAAGCTTTATTACAACCTCATCAAAAAGCATGTACAATCGATGGACTGGGATCAACTATTCTCGACCGTGCTGTTATAGAACATAACTTATTATCTGCTAGTAAATTATACAATAATATAACTTTCGAAGAACTAGGTGCCTTGTTGGAAATTCCACCGACAAAAGCAGAAAAAATTGCTAGCCAAATGATTACTGAAAGTCGAATGAATGGATACATTGATCAAATTGATTCTATTGTACATTTTGAAAGTAAGTTTAATAAACGGATCGACAAGCGAATCTTATTGTTAATAAACAGAGTTTCTGATAAAAATTTCTTTTTCATGTAGCACGAGAAACTTTGCCAACATGGGACAAACAAATACAATCTCTTTGCTATCAAGTGAACCAAATAATAGAAAAAATCGCTCAAACTGAACCAGAATGGATAGCGAAAACAATGGAAGATCAAATGCAGTAATGTAAACTTTTTTAAATATTAAATAAACACACATTGGATATTCATTTGTTAAATACGTTATTAAAAATTTGAAGGCAATAAGGATTATTAACGTAATTTATCGATGAAGCGTTTATATTATGAGCAACAATATTTAACATGCTGTTTAATTTTTATTTTAATATGCATGATAAATGTTGATATGATCAAGAAATAAATTTGAATTTATTATAACAAAGTACGTAAATATCAAACAAATTTATAAGGCATTTCTATAACTTTGGTTTTGTCACCATAATTAGTCTATTATTTATAAAAAATAAAAAATAAAATAAGTATGGAATTATGTGAGTAAAAATTTATTAATGAAATAAACCTAAAGTAATTGTTTGTTGAACACTTGCATAAAATTGTTATAAAGTTTACACAAAAATACTCTAAGAAAATAATGTACCATTTTCTTGTAAATAAAGCATTCACACTCCACATAAAATAAATTTTTTTTTATTCTAAAAACTAGTCGAAGCTTAATTCAGATTTTGCTCAATATTTAACAATTGTTGATGCATAAGAGAATAAAATTTTATGTGTACAAACCTCTCATTTAATACAATTCCTACATAAAACAGGACTGGTGTATTGTTTGTAACTAAAAATTTTTATTTATTCATATTGCATTGTTTTAAGACTGAAATATTCCTATAAGACACCGGACTTTCGATTATTGGAATATTGTCTTCATAACTAAATATAGATTTCACAATAAGTTTCAATCCTAAAATAGCCACAATTGGCAATATTGTTTTATATATTAGTTATGTAAGCAGGAATGAATGTTGATTTCATTTTGCAAATGAAAAGTGAGTAATTACTTGACATTGACATCATTTAATCCCAAGTCCCTGTACGTAGTTATTTATTGTGTATAATATTAAGTGCAAGGATTTTTACAATAAATCCAATAATTAACATTACTTCTATAGTTATAAGAACGTATGTGCAGCATACTGAGCCTCTTACCTTAGAATTAATCATAAAGTTTACAAATACTTCATAACATGATAACATTTATTACTGTCTTTTAATATTATTTCAGAAGAGTTTTTGCAATTAATATTGCTATCTATGTAGTTTCCATTTCTTTAATATCAGAATAATTAACCTTCGATTTTATTATGAAACTAATTATTTTCAACAGGAACTGGAAGGCTGCACCATATCAAGAGTAAGAGAATTACAGAGGAAAGAATAATACACTTCTGTTTCACTGAAAGAGCTGTGAGCCACACTGTTCACCATAAGATACTGTTATTGTAGCATGTTTACACTCGTAGTTGTGTATACTTTAAACTAATATCCCTTTAACTAATTTTAAACGATGCATGATATTTCGTGGCATCTATTTCGGGACAAACTTGTCTACAAATTATAGGCAATACTTTATTTGAAGCATGTAAAGTGATGCTGTCTTTATGACACGAAGGTCATGAAATAATTCTTTGAGTCAAGTCCTTTAGTGTCTGTAACCATTCGTATTTAAGCTTCAAGGTCTAATGCGAAACCAATCTTGTGTCCACCAGAACCAAAGTTCTTTCCATCAATATTTGTAGAAAGTGTCAAGGTTACACCTAGAAACATAAATGAAATATGTTATAATGTTGAAGCATAAAATTTGTCCTACTTTGTTAGATTAGATTATTATATCTCAAAAATTAATACGGAAAAAAAATGAAATATACAATAATTCCTAAAAATAATTACTTGAAATAATTACTCTAAAAATTATTACTAAAATTTATTTACCATCACGTAATTTTTGTTGATATCCCAAACCTATTTGGAGATGAGAATTGATCTTCGCTCTAATACTTGCATCTGCATCAAGATTATATTTTGTACCAATTCCAAATTGTGTAACATTATTACTAGAATTCCAAGCAAGATTAATTGCTCCTTGTAGGTCTGACTTTACTTTATGATAAATAGAGCCACTGAACTCACGCCCGTTATCCCTAATAGAATCAAACACAGTATGTTACAGAATTAAAAATATTTTTTTAGGTTACAATTTTAGTAATTTTTCCTAAGAATGCATAAAGTTTATACATACACTGCTGTATGAAGAGCAAAATCAGAAGCAGTGAATCCAAGTGCAAAATTATTCTTTGTAAGCTTATTTCTTTGCGTATCAAAGCAAGCCTGATAACCAGCCAACCATCCTATAATGAAATTAGGATATTTTGTAATGAAAAAGAAAATAATTTATTTGACTTTGTAAAACTATCATCTTACACTGTTATGTTCTGGATTGCCTTGAATATTGGGAATTAAAGAGGAAGATGCTCAATTGGAATTACAAGGAATCGCATGGATGCAAGGATATGAAAAACATTAAATATCTAAATAATACAAATATTTAATATTTCCCACTTTCAAAATAAAAATGATTAATAAAGATTGTATCAATTATAATTAATCACAGAATTATGTTGAGATGACATAAATCAATAGTATGTATCATTATCTTACCTTGATGTCCTACAACGAATGATGTATTGATAAGAGGACCAGTAGAAAGGCTAAGATCAAAATCAGCATTAGCAGATACATTTTCGTGTTTATAACTCGTTTTCAACTTTCCAGTCTTGGTCCTATAATAATAAAATCATTATTATACCAGTTTAGAAAATGTTCAAATTCTTGTTTAACTTAATTTAACCCATTAACAGTGAGTATACATAATGAGGCATAAATAACATTTACGATGTAATTTATTTGCCCCTGTCTGTACATTAAAATCTTTTGCAATCTCAGTTGTCAAGAGGTTAATCCTTGTATTGATAAGATTAGGGATTGAGTATTTTACCCTGTTTGTGGGGAGAAGGTGCAACTGTAACCAAGAGTAAGACCATTGAGCAATTTATCAGCCAAAGTCACATCAGTTGCAAGTGTGTTATCGGTGTTCCACTTTTCACTAAATGTCAACCCATAATCTTTGACTTTGTATTTGGTTTCTAAAGTACCAAATACCTTTCCAGTATCTTGATTGGATACTCCGCCACTGGAGAACTCAACACCAGAGCTGGTTTTTGTTTTAACATCTAACTTAATTAAACCAAAGTGATAACCTTGGCCAAATACATCTCGAGCACTCTTGCCTAAGTCACCGTATGTTGGTGGAGCCATGTTCTATTGGAAAATATTAAGTGATCATAAAAACAAGTCTGCCAGCTTTATGAAAACAATGTACATTTATACTTTGTGTGTACATAAAATTTTGAATTAGTTATAAGTAAAATACAGTTTTGATCTTTGGACTCTTAATACCCAAACGATTAAATGATAAAGCTGTTCCAAAATGTGTATTAAGAGATCAAGATTATGGAAAAAAGTTTCAAAGTACATTTTCAAAACTAAAGAATCAAATAATTACTTTTCATACAGAAATACAGAATTATAAAATAAAATTATGTATGTTTCAAAGATCAAAAAATTAAAAAGAAAATCATATACATAAAATATTATCTGGATAATAAGATTATAATGTATAATGTTCTTCACTTCAATGATACATACTACAAATTTAGTGATCTAATATTAACATCAATGAACATTTATATCTTTCTGTAATTATGTATTTAAGTCTGTGTAGCACTAAAGAATTCTAATAATAGTAGTCTAGACCTAGAAGTGGTTCTTAATTTAATAAATCTTAATTACAATAATATTATGAAGAATGAAGAAATAATTCAAGTATTATTAATTTGTGATCAAAACATTTCTGAATAATAAGACGAATAAAACCCAAGGTTACACGATTAATAATTTCGTAATATTAAGTTGCATAATTATGGAACATATGTTGTTATTATATATGACAAAGAATGCAATACTGTATTTGTCATAATATGTATATAATCTTTAAACTGACAATGTAACACATACATACATGTATGCATAGAGATAAAATAAATTAATAATAAATCCATATTTCTTTAAATAAAATACAATCAGCAACTAAATGAAAACATAAACGATACAATTCTTAATGTTCAATACAATTAATAACGAAATGGTTGTCAAATTAGATAGTTAACAATACATTTATTGCGAGGTTGTTAAAGAAATGTTGCAATTACAGGGAATAGTTAACGACGTCGTTTAACACAAACAATTTAATATTTGTATTAATAATAATAATGCACCGACAATTATTCGGTAATGTAGAGCAAAAATGGAGTGATATTGACCAGTCCTAGGTATTACATAAGGAGAAATCAACTGCTTCCAATTCTCATAAACGAACACAATTTGACATTATTTGGCGTCTGACGCTTTTCTATTATCTGAAAACCGTAATTGTTGAAATCAAGAGACACGAACGAACAACTGAAATTGATCGAACTTGATGAAATTAACGGAAAAAGTTGGATACAATATCGCTAGGCGACAGCCGACATTGCTAGGCATTAACCCATGCCGGCTTCGCGAGAATTAAATTATTTTCAAAAATTACACGACCCGCGTCCACGAACAGACGTTTCAACCGAAATAATGCGATATGTCTAGATGGTGTAGTTTGTTAATACTTACTGTTTTATGTTATAAGACACGAGTGCAGAAAACTGCGTGATTTCGCTTCGGAATTGCGTACGTGAGACACCAACGAGAAAGAAAGACAGATATGACCTGCGCGCAATTGATCTCGCGCATGCGCCCAACGGGAAACACTAAAAAAAATTGCGATCTATTTCTATGGGAAAATGTCGATAAAATATGCGGAATAAAATTGAACGATAAACCTCCAAGAATATCGTAATTAGATTTGGAGATAAATGTTTGATTGTTTAAGAGGTGTGTTGATCCACTTTTTTGGACGTTACGTAACCTTGAGGACTACCCTCGTATAGGCGTGGATTTCATACGTATCCGGTTCACCTAGTACCGTTTATTGAACTTTGAGGGAAAGATGAAGATAACGATCAAAGTTTCCTTCTTTTCATGGAGAAACAAAGAAACTTTATATTAATAATTTATGTTAACTGTATTATTGTATTTGTAGGAATTGAATTTAATACAAGGCTTGTATTACAAGCTTATGAATTCAATAATAATTCATGAATTGCAATTATTATTTGGGATAAATCGAAATGTTTGCGTTAGAAATATGGTACATAGGATATAGTAGCTTTATGATAAACAATGAAATGAATTAACGTGTTTGATGTATAGTAAAAATGTGTTTACAATTAGGAAACTAATTTTGAATAAATAATATTGTATATTGGAATGTAATACACTACGAATGTAGTATATATATGTATATAGTATAGTAATATATATAGTAATGATCATTACTTCAACGATAGTTATAAACGATTCATTGTAAAGGTACAGAATTAAAAAAAAAAAAACAATTCTAATTACACAAACAAATTCAACAATTTAAATTACAAAATTATCAAAGCAGCCCCTGAAATACTCAATTGTTACTCAACTTTGACTTCGTTATTACGAAGTCTCGTTGAAAATAAAGAGAATTTCGTACAGTCGCTGAAGCAGTTTGGATCTTTTTGTGCGTTTCGAGGTCCAAAAATACACCGACAGTACTCGAGGTAGCGCTACTAAACGTTTTCAAAGCGAACCGAAACTTCACGAAAGCCCATGATAGTTCTAGCATCGTACCTTTGGCAGTCTCTGCGCGTGGTATATTTTTAATAGAGTGATTACATACATATATATAAAGGATCGTATAGATTCAATTTTCAGTCTGTTTGAACCTGTCTGCGTTCGCCCATCGCGAAATTTAATTGCCAACGCAAGAATCGAGGGAACTGTCCAATTGTCAACGTTGATCGATCATGTCGCAGCAAAATTCGGTACGTTTAAATGATTAAATAAAACTGTTGTTTGGAATTGAAATTAGCGGTCTTTTTTAATCGTGTGCGTTACCACCATTCCAACCTAGATAAATTGTTTTTTTTTATTAGATTTTGAGCATTTCTACCGTGTTCCAGTTTCTTCGAGTTTTCAATTCTATGTTAGTTTAGCAGCAAACAAAAATTATGTCACGAGACGAATGAAGCCATTAGTATTCACTATACGATACCATTAGTATTCATCTATTAACAGATGTAATGTTATATTAATTTTTTGTTACAGTTTCTCTGTTTAAAAATTGAAAATGATTTTATGTCACAAAAATCTCGTCGTTATTGGTGGATCGAAACACTAAGATAGGGCTTGGAAACGTTTTTACATTTTTTAGCGTTGACTTGCAATTTTAGGATGGTCATTATGATTTATCGTCGAAATTAAATAAATACAGATTTGTATCGAATTACGTATTTTGTTTGCTTAGGTTTTCTGACGTAATGAAGTAATTCACACTTAACGTTTGTTTTACGTTTACAATGGGAAACATATACAGGGTGTCCCAAAAATGTTATAACACCTTGAAAGGGAAGGTTCGGGGAGGAAAATGTTGTTCGAGGCTTCGTTAAGCAGATATTAATTAATTTAGCATTTCGCAACAACTATACAGGGTGTTCCAAAAATGTTGGAGGTCCTTGAAAAGGGTGGTTCGGGGAGGTGATTTGAAACAACTGTTTCCTTAGCGAAAATGTTGTCCGAGGCTTTGTTGAGGAGATATTAACGGAAAACACTGACCAATCACAGCGCGAGTATGCCGATGGAGCGGCCGCGGTAGCCTATGAGCGCAGCCGCCTAGCGCGTAGCCACGCCTACTGCTGGCGCTCAAACGGTATACGCGCGCTCTGATTGGTCAGTGTTTTCCGTTAATATCTCCTCAACGAAGCCTCGGACAACAATTTCGCTAAGGAAAAAGTTGTTTCAAATCACCCCTTGAACCACCCCTTTCAAGGTGTTACAACATTTTTGAGACACCCTGTATATTGTTATTACGAAATGCTAAATTAATTTACTTACGCGTACATACATATAACTATATAAATATTAAATTGCAGATAAGCAAAAATATAGGCATGTAATTTAAAACAGTAAAAAGTGAATCTATAGAAAACGATCTATAGAAATGTCGCGGCGTGATTAATCAAAAGTCACGATAATTTTCTTTTCAGGGACCTGTAGCTGATGTAGAGGTGAGAAGCACGGCGACGTTCAAAGTTCTTCAAAATGACAAAGTCGGAAGGTAATTCATTTCACCAGTACTCACGACCAAATTTCTAAAAGAATTTCTCCTAACCAACCTTCCAATAATACATTTATAATGTATATAAATACGTTCATTACCAAATAAAAAACTGATTGAACATAACTGTTTCAGGTACATGGTGGCCAACAAGGAATTGGCAGCAGGCGAGGAAATCGTCACTGAAATGCCATTTGTGGTCGGCCCAAAGGCATTCACTTATCCCTTATGTCTTTCCTGTTACACACCTTGGCCGTCTACGGCCGACAAAACGCTTTGTTCTAAATGCGGGTGGCCAGTTTGCTCCGCGGAATGCGAGAACCAGCCCCAGCACAAAGATTACGAATGTCAGGTACAAGTTACTGAAATGAAAAATGATTAAACGCGCATCGTCGAAAGCAGATGCTAATTTAAATGTCCCGTTCGCAGATATTCGTAGAAGCGAATGAGAAGTTCAACGCGTCAGCGGCTTTGGAAGAGACTAATCCGAACGGAGTCCCTCAGTTGGAGTGTGTAACGCCGTTGAGGCTGCTCTTGGAGTCTGAGAGGAATCCTGAAAGATGGAACAAAGAGGTGAGAGACATGGAGGCCCATAATAAAATAAGGAGCCAAAAGGAACATTGGAAATCGGATCATGTGAACGTTGTGGAATATTTGAGAAAGAGACTCAAACTGGAAAGGTAAACATTGTTAACTTGGTAAAAAATGAACTTCTACGTATTAGAATCTTTTATGTAAAACTTTTATTATGCTTGCTGTTAAATTGTCTTATTTTGTGTGAAACTTTTGTTATTGTCGTTACTCCATCCAGCTAGTAGTTTATCTAGAGGGAGTACATTATTCATGAAAATTAGTAATATTTTTTAATGTATTATTGAAAGAGCTTCGTTGAGATGGCTTTAATATATCTTCCTTTCAACACTTGTGTCCTCTCAACACTTTATGATCATATTTGAAAATATTTAATGATATAATAAAAATGTACAAACACAATACATAGTCAGTGCAATAAGTATTCATACAGGCACTATTTATTTTAAATTAGTTGCTGTAAGAATATTTCTTACACTAACTGTATGTCTTAAGTATACTCAAGTTAAACAAGAATAATGTCCACTCACAATTCTCAATGAAATCTCATCTTCCAAAAATTTTAATTATTAAATAACATTTACGAGATATTATAATATTTCTAAAATTTTATATGTGTCTTCTCAACTCGTAATTGTATCGACGCTTCCATAGTATGTAATCTTTTCTAAATATTATTATTTATTATAGATTCTCAGAGGAACGCATTCAAACAGCCTGTGGAATTTTGGAAATAAATACTTTCGAAGTTCGAACAGCGAACGGATTCAGCGCCAGGGCTCTCTATCCAACAGTTGCACTAATGAATCACTCTTGTGTCTCCAATACATGCCACAGTATTTCTCCAACGGATTACAGGTAAAATTTATTTTTCAAATTTATTCTTCTTCTACTTGTTATTCGAAATCATTCCTAAATTTTTCATCTCAAGAAGGATTCCTATTTTAAGAAAAACAAGGCGACAATTCAATTACATTTAGAAAACGCGCACATTACATGTCACGTCAAGCAAAAAGTAAAGAAAGATTGTATCCGTTACGTTTGCAGAATACGGTTGCGCACCACGTTAAAAGTTCCACCGGGTGGTGAACTGTATGGCAGTTACACACATTCATTATTGCCGACGATGCTAAGGAGAGAACACCTTCTCGAAGGGAAACATTTCGCGTGCGCTTGCCCGAGATGCTCGGACCCAACTGAGCTTGGAACTCACATGTCTTCGTTAAAGTGTAACAAGTGTGATAATGGAATCGTGTTATCTCTGGACTCTCTAGGTAACTATCATACCATAATAAAATTAATCTGTAACGGGTGACCTTCTTTCCTTTCTCCTAGTATATATAAATTACGAACAATGTACAGATCCTGATAGCTCCTGGAAATGCACTCACTGTGAATTTACAACCAGTGGAGCAGCCGTTCGAAAAGTGCTGCAAATTATACACGCGGATGTTGAGGCAGTGGAGGCAATCAGTGGAGCAGATGGAGCTGACGCCATTCAGCAAAGAGAAACGGTCATGAAAAAGTACCACTCTGTTCTGCATCCCCGTCATGCTTTCAATACCATGTTAAGGTAAATTATATTAAACAATATTAAATACGAATAATCGTACAATCATAGACAATTCTTATTAATTCCTGTGTTATTATTAGACTGCAGATGTCTATGCATTTATGGCAGGTCAAAATATTGGAGTATACTGTTTAAAAGATAAGATTTATTTTTTTATTTAAGTTCTAATTCCTTTTTCTTTTTAAATATCAATTTGCATAAACATCCTCAGTCTAGTTATTATTTATGATTAAGAAGACCCAAGGCTTCTGATTGAAACTACTTTAATCGAGCCTATTCAGACTACAATGATTAAAAATTATATTTATTACAAAGCAAGTCACCTGTTCCCACATTAATTTATTGAAATTTACTTTCAGGCATTCGTTAACACAGATGTATGGTCGTGTTGATGAGTACCTCCTAGATGATCTACCAGACATCGTATTGGAGCATAAAATTGATATGTGTAAGTTACTGCTGCAGGTATTGGATGTTGTCGAGCCTGGCCATTCCCGTATAAGAGGTAAAGATTATTTAATGATAATATTAAATTTTCATTAGATAGAAGGTGGTTCACCTTAATAAAATTAACAATTATTACAATAGATAACTATTATGATAATTGTCCCTAAAAATTGCTGTAAAAGCATTATTAATAAACTTCAAAAAAAAGTTTGAAGTTTAGGGGACAAATTGGCTTGGTAATTTAGTGTTAACAATTTTAACACTAGGTTTACAGACCATGGAAGATTTTAACCAATCTATGTTTACAAGATTTTACAGAAACCGTTTATATTTTTTTCCAGCCACTTATGCTGACTTTTATATAAAAAATATATAAAAAAAAGAAACATATAATCCAACTTCAATTTTGTCTAAACCTCATAATTAATTTTAGTAAATCGATTTCACTTATTAAAGTGAATTATTATCATTGCATAATAGAAATCTGGTACAAAATCTCCGTAATCCTAGTTTTAATCGATAAGATTTCATTACAAAGATAACCTTAACCTCACTGTCTCGTTCTTGAAGGAATGACGTTGTACGAGCTCCATGCACCGCTGCTTTTCATCGCCAAAACGCAATGGAACGCCGGAGTGATCGACGAAGCTGCATTGAAATCAAAAATGATCGAAGCATCAGAAATCTTGAAGGAATCAGCGATGATCTTGAGCCTGGAGCCACCGGATACGCCTGAAGGGCAAATAGGTCTCGTCGCGAAAGAATCGTTGGTCCAACTCGAGCAATCGATCAGTGATTTATAAATATTTATTGTAAATATACCATTATTTGTATGAATGTATTTATTTGTTAATAAATGAACAAGAAGTTACCTAACTCGAAGATCTTATATTATTTTTTGGAAGAATATGCTTCAATTTGAGGCTGTATGAGGCCGTATATACAATAGATAACCTCGAGTCAATCGAGTGGCGAGCCAAGGACACGGTTGTCACTCTGGTCCACCTCTCTTGACACCATACGCTGTGACGTCATTGGCTGCGGCCGGTGATGAGACGACGGCGAGCATATCGGGACAGAGTGCGATGAAATGATGGTCTAAACAAATACTGTCTTATCATGAATACAAATATACAGGATGTCCCAAAAATGTTGGAGGTCTTTGAAAGAAGTGGTTCCGGGGGTGATTTGAAACAACTTTTTCCTTAACGAAAATGTTGTCCGAGGCTTCGTTAAGAAGATATTAATGGAAAACCTCGTGCAATCAGAGCGCGAGTATGCCGGTGGAGCGTAGGCTACGCGCTAGGCAGCTGCGCTCATACGCTACCGCGGCCGCTCCACCGGCATACTCGTGCTCTGATTGGTCGAGTTTTTCCGTTAATATCTTCTTAACGAAGCCTCGGACAACATTTTCGTTAAGGAAAAAGTTGTTTCAAATCACCTTCTGAAACCCCTTTCACCACCCCTTTCAAGGACCTCCAACATTTTTGGGGCATCCTGTATAGGGCTCCATTTAAAATAAACAAATATTTTTGAACCGAGTAACTTTTGTGAAAGCTTTTTTTTTTGATAACTTCACTCCCTCGTGAGATATTGAATCATTTAAACAAAATACCCTGTATAACTCTCGTATAACTTCCTTAAACACCTCATTCGTTCGTATTAATTGCCCAACAGAAAACAAATCGAAACTAATAAAAAAGAACGTCAACATAATCGCATTCTTCGATCGTAACGTGCACGCATTGTGATCGTCGGCAAGCACGCGCTGCACTGCTGCGCTGACTTCTAATAATATAGCGCATCGGGAGTGCACCAAAGAGAGACGGCTACCGCTTCAACTGCCTGTATTTCGGTGTCAGTTACAAACCGTAGGAAATGAACAAGACACCGCGACTCCCACGAGTCTGAATAAACCGTCCGTACTCGAACTAAACCGGTTGATTTTAATCAACGAGAATAACGGAAGGCCTGGTCGAATCTATTTTAAAAACTTACGACTGACGTATGACGATGGAGCAAAAGGCAAAGAACGTCGGGACTCCCCCGTTAAAGTATAAGATTGCACGCACTGAAAAACTCGGCAGGTATTTTTATATCATTTTTAATTCAAGAGTTTCCCAGAGGGGGACCTCAGGATTTTGTCTTTAATAGGAAGATAAAGATACACCTGTCAATGTGAAAATGTGGTGGACACAAACATCCTTCAACATCTTTCTCATTTTCAAGGTGTAAAAATTATATTCCATACCATTTGTGTGTCTATTTAAAAAACATCGAGTGCAAAGTGGAAAGTCTATTATACAGGGTGTCTCAAAAATGTTGTAACACCTTGAAAGAGGTGGTTCGGGGGGTGATTTGAAACAACTTTTTCCTTAGCGAAAATGTTGTCCGAGGCTTCGTTGAGGAGATATTAACGGAAAACACTGACCAATCAGAGCGCGCGTATACTGTTGGAGCGGCCGCGATAGCGTATGAGCGCGGCCGCCTAGCGTGTAGCTTACGCTCCAGCGGCATACTCGCGCTCCGATTGGTCAATGTTTTCCGTTAATATCTCCTCAACGAAGTCTCGGACAACATTTTTGCTAAGGAAAAAGTTGCTTCAAATAACCTCCCGAACCACCTCTTTCAAGCTGTTACAACATTTTTGAGACACCCTGTATTTGTAATCTGTTACGAAGATAACTATAAGATAAATACTGTCCTTTTGAATTTTTCGTCCAATGACTTTTGTTTTCTTTGTCTGTTTATAATTCATTTAATTCGTAGATACGCAACACGGTTTCATTTTCTTCCGCGCTCCGTATTACGTTTGAGTGGTGCGGTCACACTTCACTATCGCGCGTGCGCACACGAATAGGAGCTAGGGTGGGGGACCCTGAGCGTTGCATCGCTCTATCGAGAATTTGCGAAAACTTTAACAATTTTTTACGCGAAAACGGTTCGTCTCTGATATGTGGCTCCTTTGAAGCTTTTTATGTACTCCTCATTTTTCCAAAAAGACTAAAATAAACAGAACGTAGATTTCATATCTTAGAATAACGCGCATGGAGTTATAGGAATTTGTTACATGTCCATGTATATATTTTTTTTCACAAGGTATTTGCAGGCAGCAAAAAATCTGGCAGCAGGCGAAGTGATACTTCGAGAAAAACCGGTTGCCGTTGGACCAATGACGACCAGTCAGGATTACGTCTGTTTCGCGTGTTTGCGTTTGTTACCAAAAATCAGAAGAGGCACGCAATATTACTGCCTCAAGTGCAATGTTGCACCTTTATGCAGCACTGCCTGCAAGGTAAATAATTAAACACCTGAATGAATTTTTTGTTTGCAAAATATACTTCAATTCGCATATTATATTATTTACGTTACATCAGTTATATTTAATATATTATGATACATCATTTTATTTGGCAATTACAAACTTTCAAGATGAGGGTCATTCAATTATTCTCGACATAAACTTCGATGGGAAATATATGTATTACCATAAGTATATTTTAATATATAAATAAATATAAATATATTTTTTCCCATATGCAACTTTCGATCTAATATAATTCGTATACGCCAATGCAGCCATTCTATCGACAAACACTTATTGTTGACAATAATTAGCTTAACAAATTATAAATTCATTATTAATAATTCAAGCCTGAAAACGTAATACAAAACCTATGACTCCTTCAGGAGGAGTCAAAGCATCATACTCCAGACGAATGCGAAATACTTGAAAAGAATAGAGACCTGCTGACCGACAAAATAGCTGACGTCATCGGTGTGTTGCTGCCTCTGCGATTATGGCTTCTGAAACAAAGGAATCCAGAGTTGTGGGCACAAATAGAGTCCATGGAAGCTCATATAGATAAAAGAAGAAATACGTCCGTTTGGAAAGACAGGGAGGAAAACGTTATAAATGTAAAGTATCTTCCAAAAAGGGCCTTTAAAATGTTGTCTTTTAATAAATCCAATTCTCTTATTTTAAATCAATGTACACGTTACAATCGAGCAATCAAAAATGTATTAAAAAAGAAAACTCTAAAGACCCTTTTAAAGAACTTGTTATGTTAATCGTTGTCCAACAAAAGCAACTCGTCAATTTTTAACAATTTTAATATTATACGAGCAGGTCGTGAGGGCACTTCGTCTGATTCCTGAAGAAGAAGCGTCTACAGATCTCTTACAGCAGCTTTGCGGTATCTTAGACGTTAACACATTCGAGTTGAGATCTCCGGGAGGTCTGGACGGTCTCCTTTTGCGAGGTTTATATATGGAGGCCTCCCTCATGGCTCACGATTGCAGAGGGAACACTCACCTTACCGTAGATAACGACTTTCAGCTCACCGTGTACGCCAGTCTGCCGATCAACGAAGGCGACCCTATTTTCTTCAATTACACCTCGTCGCTTTTGGTTCGTTTATAGTCACGGCCATTTCTGTTTTAATTCATTTCAGTTCAATGAAATATACAATATTTTTGTTGTACATATGAGATGCGATACGTACGTAATATTCGGAACTATTCAGAACAATCAGAACTACCTAGTAAATTAATTCTTCAAACTTCTCAAAAAAAAGTTTAAATTATTTAGACCAATTTCAAAGGTAGGAATTGTGTTTTAAAAGGTGTCCGAATATTAATGCGAGTCACTATATAAGCTTAAAATATGAGTCAGTTCGTCAAAGGCGTTCATGGGTAAGTGACGAAGCAGATTGCGTTGTAATCAGAAAACTCGTGAGTTCGAATCCCGCTGGAGGTAATTAAAAATTGAATCGTGTTTTTCGTCATTTTCATAGAATCCAGTCGCAAGAAATCAATTACAGTAAACTAAAATCTACCAACAAATGAAAAAGAAAATTAAAATTTAATTTGTTTTTAAATCTCAGTTTTCAAAAATTCAACATTTTCCAAATATTCAATACACACGTCTTCTAAACATAAATTTCAGGAACGTCCCTGTGCTATCTGGGACATTACTTGGGGGTACGTAAATTAATTTAGTGATTTAATTACCAGGAAACATCAGGTAGGAGGGAGGAGCACCTGTGTAGAGGACGTAATGCAGAATGATACAGAATAACACAGCATAGAGCAGCACGGAACGTTTATAAAAATATCGTTCTTGAAGTACTTGGTGTACCTACTAATTTACCGATTTAATTACCAGGGAACGTCAGGTAGGAGGGAGCACCTGCGTGGAGGAAAGTACTTCGAGTGCGAGTGCTCGTTATGCATGGACCCCTACGAGATGGGCTCGTACATGAGCAGCATCCTGTGCCCCAGGTGTAGAGAAGGTTTCGTAGGAGTGCAAAATCCTTTAACGATAAATCCCTATGGAAGGGGTGTAAAATGGCAATGCGATAAGTGCAGAAGAAGCATCGGGGGTCGTCTCGTGCGAGCCACTTTGGACATAACAAGAACCCTCATCGATAACACGGACGACGACGATATCAAAGTTTGTAATTTTGTCAACCGTCCCAATACTGCGCGTTGTTTATCGTAACTCTGTAAACACATTTCTTTTAATGATTTTTTCAAGGGTCTCGAAACGTTGACGGCGAAACTGTCGCGTTCTCTGCACACGAATCATTTCTTGATGTTATCCTTGAAGCAGAAATTGTTGGCAGCGTACAGGAAAGAAGTGGCATCGCCGAATCCACAGAAGAAAGTTATGATGAGAATGCTAGACACGTGCAAGGAAATGTGCAACGTGTTAGAAGTGGTCGAGCCGGGGATATCTCGATTAAAAGGTAATTTCGTATTTTATGAGCTTGATAGAACTGCGTCTAAAGGGAGACAATATTAATATAGAGAGTTCTTTAAAAATTAATATTTAAAGAAGTCGATAAATGATAATGTGGAGCACTGCTATTCGAATCCCACCATTTCATAATATCCTCTTCTAAAAGAACGCTTCTGATGAACCCTTTAGACAAAAAGTACGTTATTTATTCAATGTATTTTAAAATATGTGGTTTAAACAGAATTTATAATTTTTCAATCAAATTATTTCTTAGAACAAAAAATCACATTTATAATTAAACAATTTTATTTCAATTTAGGCAGTTTCGTATTTTTCATACATTGTTTACTGAAACAATGCAACAAAAAATTAATATCTAAATCCAGTAAAATTTATTCTTATCTAATACTTATCCAATAAGTATACTTTCACTCGCACTAAATAAGAAATTTGTATAATTTGATTCTATTTAATTTCATAACAAATGAAATATTTTCAGCGTGTAACTGAAATAAACTTTTAGGAATAATGTTGTACGAGATGCACTTGCCATTGGTACTGTTAGCGAACAGAGCATACGCTGCACGTGAAATTAATTCGACGGATCTTGCTTCGCGCCTGGAGGAAGCCGGAAGTCTGTTGAAGAAATCCCTAACGATGCTTCTTTTAGAACCAGCAGACACCCCAGAGGGAAAATTGGCTAAACGAGCCCTGCAAGAATTGAAAGCTCTAAATCAAAATATAGCTGACGTTAAATCAATCTCCACCATCGATGACACGCGTTTCCACAACAAAAGGAAATCGCATAAGAATAAATCCAATACGAAGAAATGAATATAAAAAATGCTTTAACATCTATGCATGCTCTGTTTTCTTTATCTTTCATTCTATTCCTCCTTTTCCCTTTTATTATTACCAGAATCATAGTAAATCTTCTCCTTTATTATTTCAGATGGTTAATATCTTGTTATTGTTGTTCGAAAAATGAAGAATTTTCATATGCCACAATAAATGGATTTCATGCTAAAACGCTGACTATTAAGAATAGTTACAAATAAATTTAATCCTGTCTAAGTGGCGCCGTCGAATTCGTACCGCGACACTTAGAGACCGAGGTGAAATTTAATTGCTATTTAATCAATAAAGCTGTCGTTGTAAGACTCTAAGGCGCAAACGTGCATAATAATAGCTGAGAAGGATCGAGTTTTATTATACATGAACCCTTTTCGATCTTCTTAAACAATTATAATACATTTTTGGAATTATAATACCAATTTGCGCCTTGAGCAAACGTTATGACTTGCACGCGAGTATTGGGTTGCCTACTGATAGGGGCGATCGAATTAAAGTATGAAAAGGATAATAATGACGATTTACTTTCAACTTAAAATTGTTTACGAATGAAAGTATTTATCCAGATTTTGTACAATTTATAAGACAAAAAAATATTTCTAGTAATTGTATGGTAACTAAAAATGAACGACAGATATTGTTTAGTTTAGAAGTACATAATAATATACATATTACATATATAGATATACATATTTTATATTTTATACATACAATAATGTAGATATATTTATACATGTATAAATTGAAAAAGTACTGATAAATACTTTAATAAGAAAAACAATTGTATTACACTATTTAGCTGCTTTTATTTATAACTATAAGCTATCACCACTGTAAGAACTCATAAAAAAAAAAAACATATTTCCAGTTCTGGGTTTATTCTGATTAAGATTGTTGAAGCTTATTAGTATTACATCTTTCTAATTTAAATAATTTCTCTTCCGCTTGAAATTGTTTCATTTGAATAAATAAAAATTTCCGATCTGTAAAATACTGTATAATAAACGCAATGTTTATGCAAAACACTGTTTAATTTAACGAAGTCGAATAAAAATTGCATAGCTAATTGTTGCGCGAATATAAGATATGTAAATCAATGTAAATTTAAAAAAAAAACTGTTAGTTTGTAGCAGAAACCAGTAGAAACCGATACGTTGGTTAAAGCTTAAAGCACTATACACATAACCGGTTAAAATATAAACGCTATATTTTGAAAATATGAAGCTGCCGAAATTTGATTCGTTCCGTATCAAAATGTGTGAATTTATTATCGTCTAATACATTATTTTTCTGTATTAAACACAGGTAATATTCTAATTACTTGACAGATTTCTATAGGATAACCTCTATGATATAGACGAATAAAACAAGTAAATATGTTACCAGTACTTGATTAAGTAATGTTTGTATAAAATATTGTTAACACGTACAGGACACTATTAATGAATAAGAACCGCTTATAAGTTAATAAAAGCATAAGTTTTGTACGACGAATGAAATATTATTTCATTAACTTTTGATATAGATATTATAGATTATTTTTATTTATTTTAGCATAACAGTAATATGTTTGATCAAAGCATTATTGGAATATGCTTCTTTATATGGTTAGCAGTTGTTTTCAACTTTTCTTTACACCGTATAGAAGAAGGTCATGTCGGTGTTTACTTTAGGGTAAATATTTGTTTATAAATATGAAATTATGTAGATAATAGAAATATATATACGTTCATTATATGATACAGGGTGGGGCATTATTGCCTCAAGTGAGCAATCCTGGCTTTCATATGATGATACCTTTATTGACAATATACCGTTCGGTTCAAGTTACATTACAAACGGATGAAGTAAAGAATGTACCATGTGGCACCAGTGGCGGTGTGATGATTTACTTTGATCGCATAGAAGTTGTAAATATATTGGATGCGAATAGCGGTAATAATCTTTCGAATTACATATTACAGAATAATAAAACCAAGTTATAACAAGTTGTAATTTCATGTACTAATAAGATTATTTTATTATATAGTATATAACATAGTGAAAAGCTTCACAGCAGATTATGATCAAACTTTAATATTCAATAAGATTCATCACGAGTTGAATCAATTCTGCTCTGTGCACACATTGCACGAAGTATACATAGATTTATTTGATCAAATAGATGAAAACTTAAAAACTGCTCTGCAGAAAGACTTAAACGATCTAGCACCTGGCTTACGTATTCATGCTGTTAGAGTTACTAAGCCTAAAATTCCAGAAACTATCAGAAAAAATTATGAATTAATGTGAGTATACTGTTGTTATACTATAACAGTATTAATGATAATTATGTATGCATTTGTATTGCAGGGAAGCAGAGAAAACAAAGTTATTAATATCTATGCAACATCAAAAAGTAGTAGAAAAAGATGCAGAAACTGACAGGAAAAAAGCTATTATCGAAGCAGAAAAACAAGCACAAGTTTCAAAAATTTACTATAATCAGAATATCATGGAAAAGGAATCTCTTCAAAGAATAGTTGAGATCGATAATGCTATGCATTTGGCAACAGAGAAAAGCCATTCTGATGCTGAGTACTATCAAATGAAAATGCATGCAGAGGCAAACAAACTACTTCTTACTAAAGAATATTTAGAGCTGAAGAAGTATGAAGCACTGGCACAAAATGCGAAAATATATTTTGGCGAACACATACCAAAAATGTTTATGTATGACAGTAGGTCAAACGAACCTGCTGTACATTCCAGTGTAGAAGTTAAAGAGGTTAAAGAGACTTAATTTATATTATTTCATCGTTGTTCCGTTTAACAGTATATCACAAAATAATAATTCCTTCATCTAACTGTAATGTAAATTAGTTTCTGGAATATAATAATTCGAAGAAGTTGTTTGAATATTTCAGAGTAACAATTGTATTGTAAGATTTGTTATTTTATGATTTCGAAGAATAAAATGTATCAAACTCAAATGTATGTATACATACTGAACATACACGTATTTATACAATTTGCGTATTTCTAACTTTTCTCTAATACCGAGTTACGTTAGTTTTAGTACAATTTTCTAGTAAAAATATTATTATTCTATATGTATTAATACTGCACTCAAAACTTTATATTCATTTATATACTACTGTGTGTAATGTATTTTGTAGTTTTTTTTAAAGAGATTAACTTAATTGTATACCACAGATAAGGAATGTAAGATAAGTTAAAATAAACGTCAGATTCGTGAACCACTCATGTTTTTTTTTAATTATTGATTCTTATTGACTAATGCCCTTGACTAAAAGATGGTCCTTGTGGCTGGACTAGTCACAAATGTCAAGTATGGGTTACAGAGGTCAAGTTCAGGTCAGAGTGGTTAGCAGTGGTCAGGTACTGATTAAAGTGGTCAAATACTGATCACTGAGGTGAAGCTTACATGGAGGGCTGGAGGTCACCTTGAATTACTAGAGGTTGGCATAAAGGACTAGAGGTGCCATACCCACACCCATACCCAATATATTAATATATATTAATATATACAATATACTATATATATACAAATTTGTCATATTTATGAATAGTTATTTAGTGCTGCAATAAGTAATCGAATAAAAGAGCACTATCGGTGATCATTGGTAACAGTCTCAAATGATTTCAAATCTGTCTGAGTTGGTCCAACTCTGTCTGTCTGGAATTAAATGACGCCAATTTTTTATTCGGTTTTATTTTAATTAACCTTTTATTCATTCTTTGTACATGCGTATGTTGAATGATTTAAATATATCGCTTATCTTAGGCCGAATCGACGAACTTAGAGTCAAGTGTCATCTTTGTATACATATATGGTATATGTATACATTGGACTACTATGAACCACTGTGAACCACTAGCGAACTGTCACACGATCAGCTGTTCACTCTTCTTCCTCGACCTTTATTTGCTAATTCAAATCGAGCTCGGAACGAAATTTCTATTTTATCGTTCCTCTTTCGCCGCTATTGCGCTAAAAAACGGTCAGAAACGATTTTCTTTTTCTCGTTCTGCGATATAAGGTTTTCGAGTTTAATTCGTAAAATTTACGAAAAATAGTAAACACTGTCAAAAGTTTGCTATCGTTGATATTTAGATTTATAAAACTTTTACAGACTTGAGAGTTACGAAACGTTTATTACCAGGATTATTGAAAATGACAGCAGTAAGTTATGAAATTACTCTACAAACCATCTAAAAGATCCTATGTTATACATATTTTAAGGTTATACACAAATCCTTTGAATAAGTTTCAAGTACATTTTTTTATATGCAGGTCGGTTTCTATTTTATGTGCAATGAATAATGTTACTATACCATCAAACCATTATTATTTGATATATTTTCTTATTCGTTTCTTTGTTTTGACTTTAGGAACTAAAGAAGTTTCTGAACGGACTTCTTAGCAGCGTAGAAGGTCTTCATAGTATATTGATAACAGACAGGGATGGAGTGCCTGTTATATCTGTTGCCGATGAAAAGGCTCCGGAATTGGCTATGAGGGCAAGTTTCTTATCTACATTTGGAATGGCAACTGATCAAGGAAGTAAACTAGGACTTGAAAAAAATAAGACTATCATATGCATGTACAGTAGTTATCAGGTAATAAAAACAAAATACATAATGCATTGCAGACTATTATTGTTATTTATCTAACTCGAGATATAGAGAATAATGTAATACAAGGATACAAAGTTTCGTTACATATATGCCATATACAAACTTCTTGGATTTATTTAACTGTATTATTTATATTAATTTACATTATTCAGTTTCAAATTCATTTTATAATCAACTGCATGTAATGTTTAATATTTTTACTTGCAGGTTGTTCAAATGAACAAATTACCATTAGTCATTAGTTTTATTGCTAGTCATGACTGTAATACAGGCCACATTTTATCTTTGGAAAATAAGATCGATCCAATCTTGAGTAATTTAAAAAATGCAGTAGTGGAAGCCTGATGGTTACCTGTTGTCCATTATGGGTGATAAATACCAAAAGTTTACGGTTGAATTTGGTAATGACTTGTATAGGAGGAATGGTATAAATAGCGAGGAAGACGTTACTGTATATTTTGTTTCTAATTTACAAAACGTTTAATTCGTAGTCTGTCATACTTATAAATCCTTCTACTGGCATTTTTATACGATGTTTTAAGTACATATTTGGAAGGAAATAAGTAGCGCATATCTTGTATAAAACAGTACAATAGAAATATATAGAAATTACGAATTTTTATAATATACTGTGAGGCATTTCAATATTTGCATTATGTATTCTATGTTTGTAATTAAACTAACATATAACCATTTGAGAAAAAGTTTTTTCAAATTTCACATGTCTGTAAATAGTATGAAATATACATGTAAAACAAGTGATATTAAAACATTATTAACATTATATCATTGAAAATTAAATAATACAATCATATATTTCAAATTTTCAAACATCGATAATTAGACTTCGTACACCAATGGCTTACCCTCTAACCCATTGAGAATGTTTTGTGCTGCAGTAATTGACATATTACGTCGAGTCTTCATAGTAGCACTGCCTATGTGAGGTGTGACCACTGCGGTACATAATACATATATATTACTGTATATAGTTTTGCTATACATTTCTATTACTAATCAATAAGTACACACATTATGTATGTATATGTATGTGCGAGCGTGTGTGTGCAGAATTGTAAATTATAATGTCTACCAATAAAATGTTACACGTATAAGGGCAGAAAATGTTACTTTATCATTAAATGTTTCTATTAAGATAGTTAACGATACTAACCAGCATTTGGAAGTTTAAGAAGTTCATGGTCAGGTGGCAATGGTTCAGGATTCGTAACATCGAGGCCAGCCGCGAAAATTGTTTTATTTTTCAATGCTTTGACTAGCGCATCCGTGTTTACAACTTGTCCACGACTAACGTTTACAAGTACCGCGGTTTTCTTCATTTTTCCAAAAGTGTTATCATTAAACATTCCTCTTGTTTCGTTGTTCAACGGAACAACGACGATTACAAAGTCACTTTGTTCGAGAAGCTCGTCGAGAGATACGAAGTGAGCCCCTAAGTCGTCTCCTATGTATGAAATTACAATCGAATAAAATGCTGAATAAATATATGCGTTTTAGTTGTATATTTAGTTGTATATAATGATAAGTACCCGCTTTTTTACGAGAATGGCCTGTATAAATAAAACGACCAACTTCGAATCCCTTCAGTCGTTTAACAATAGCTTGTCCAATGTTGCCCAGACCAACTATACCCACTGTTGATCCTTCTATATCTTGACCAAGCAGCCAATCAAGACGGCGTTCATACTGATCCCTAAATTAACAAAAATTGTATATGCAAACATTAAATATGTATCGTTAAGTATAATTTCTAAAATCAATGTTTCAATGTTTATCAATGTTTGTAGCTTGGTATATTTAAAACAGGTCGCCTGGATAACTCATTAATTTCTTTAAAGAGACATTTAAGTCCTTAACGTCAACAAAAATGGCAGAAGCAATTTTAATTACTGTTCCAGTTTTAGTCGTCCTTCGTGAGCTCGTCTCGATGCGCTCAATGTTAGAAGTACAGCAATATCTGCAACCGCGTTTGATAAAACCATAGGCGTATGTCCAACTTTGATTCCTCTTCTTTTAATTTCAGGCACATCTAGATAATCGTAACCAGCTGACATCGTTGAAATCACCTTTAACGTTGGTCCTGTTTATGTAAAATTTTAATAAGTCAGTTGTGAAGTCAATTTTATTAAATTTATTATATTTAGAAATCAGGTCCATATTTTATGTTCCTGTGTAATATACATGTGTAATAATGTACGCATACATTAATATTATGTACGTATTCTTTAATTAGTATATATGCATATATATATGTACATATATACATGTATACATAAACATGTATATACAAGATTAAATTTATAAAATTATAAAGTGTTCCCTATTTAATTTAATCTATTTATACATACATACATTTTACATTTAATATTTTATACAAAATTAAAAGGTAACATTATCAATTTAATTAACTGTATAAATACAGTATTCGAGATTTATTTATCTCCATAAAAATATAAAATACATGAGATAGGGACATTAAAAAAAATGCAGTTCGATAATCACCTGCAATGTTAAGAAATTCAGTGTTTACACTATGATGTTTAGCTATAAAGACCGCATCGTGACCAGGCAGTGCTTGCAATAAATCTTCCCGTTCGATATTCGAACTTTGAATTATTGTGACATCGCATCTACACAAAAAACAAGAAAACAGAATATTAAAACATTTTGTAACGAGATAAGATAGCGCAATTCGTGTAAATCGAAACTGTTTACGATTGCCCGCCGAAATGTTCGAAAGAGTGTACTGTCGATAATCGAAATGCGTCGAGCATTCGCGTATCGAATTATGAATTTAACGGTCTACAACGCAAGCGGTAATATAGAGATTAATTGCAATTCAGATCCAGTTGAGAAATAAGATCATTATTATAAATACTTCGTACCCTGACGTTCCGTAATATTCTATTATATTTTTTTTTTTTGCATTAATGCAATATTGTATCACAATTGAATTATGTTTTAGACGTTTGAAATGCACCTACTTTGTGCGAAGAAGATCTATGCCAGCAGAAGGTACATCGTTACTGGTGACCAATACACGAGGCCTCATTGTTGTTGCTTTATGTACTGACTACAACGGTAAATACTTTGTAAACTGCCAGACCTGCCATGCATGCCTGCGTTATATAAGGTTAAGATCTGATTATGTGCGCAGGCGTCATACAACATAACCGAACATAACGATAACAAATTGTTACACCCATGTGACGTTTCAGATCTTGATTCCAGTCACTGAAACACGCGCACTGGTTTTACCATCAGTATCTGATACAACCATAAAATTGACGCTCTTAGTCGCTCCAAAGAAAAATAGAATTATAGTAATTACTTCATTTATGAAATGTACGTTTTATCATTACATATATATAAATGTATTTACATATTATGTAAAAGTATTAATAATAGTTGTACATTTTGTACAAGTATTTGTAATAATTATATGTAAAATATATATGTACATATATTTATAATATTATATATAATATATATTATATTATATTAATATAATACATATACATAATATAATATTTTACATATCTATATAATATATAATATATATTATACATATTTTATATATATATTATGTAAAATCGATAATTTTAGTGTAGAATTCATAATTCTTTGTCGAAATTCAAATTTAAGTAATGCGTAGAGCACAACAGGAAGGATTTCAATAATACCGATAAACAATATTTTGAAACATCAACCGCAGTATCCTGTTATGACTGCCGTATTTATAACTCACATTTCCTTGTTTATAGATAACATTTTACAAAAATAAGATATAAAACCACTTAAGGTACAAGTGGTTGATTTTTCAAAATCGATCATCTATAAATCCTAGTATTTTATACAATTTTTGTCGATCCCTTTCGCTCGTAGCTTAACCTGACGAAAATTCAAATGCGAAGTTCCCGCGTGTTCGATTTCGTAACTACTACGTTGGATAAAATAATATTTGAAAAACTAAATACAACTGTAACTGCATCAATTACTAATTTTTTTATTAGAAATTGTAATCAAATAATAATTTAAGAATTTTACTATAGAAAATACATATATCGTTATAATATATTAATACTTTCTGCATTTGAGTTTTGTTTTGACTAGGACAGTTGAGAAAGAACCACCTTAAATTTACAATTTCAGGTTGGTAACTATACGGTTTTAAAAATACGATTTCCGATCTGAACTCAATAATTTACTTACTAACTTATATTTACAAACGAGTAGGATAGTTCAATGAAAAGTTATGAAACAGTTCATCGGACGTATACTTCGATTTCCGTGAACGTTTAATGATATATATCTATCGTACTTGTACCATAAATATCTTTACAAGAATTTCGAGGTTATGAGACATATTTACAATAACTCCAAAGCATGTTCCACGGTTAAAGCAGAATGAACTAACGAAAAAATAAAAGATACGAAACAAGTTCCATATTTAGAATATCAAAAAGTAAAATGAAGTGGTTGCCACGACAAATCACGTTACCGCTCTTACTTGGTGTGTCTTTAACAAGTATTAGCATTGCTTTCATATATCTACTGTATAAACAGGTAAGATTGAAGGCTTTATAAATTCATATTTCTTGATATATCCTATTAATCGATCCTTCAAACAACTAGGATGAAGATGATGCAAATTCTCGAAGAAAGAAAATACAAATTGTGAATAGAATTAGTATAGAATACAAAGTACCTAGGCAGTTTGTTCCCGCTGTTATTGGAAGAGGTGGTTCTGTAGTAAAAGATGTACAAAATAAGACAGGAACACAAATATATTTTAAAGAAGACAATCTCGAATGTCCTGATCGTATTTGCATCATAAGAGGAACTTTTGAGGCTGTACATTTCGCGGAAGAAATGATAAAATCCATAATTGAAAATCAGCCTATAATTGAAACATATGAAATGTATGTACCTCAGAACTCATGTGGAAGGATAATAGGAAGAGGTGGCGAAAGTATAATGCAAATACAAGCATCTTCTCGTGCAAAAGTTATTATTGAAAGTGGATTTACTCCCTACGATTTGAGTATGTTAATTGTATATATTAGTTCCAAAGCATTTTTTTGTTCAATTTTTGTAAAGGTTTCGTGACTAGTTCAAATATTTTATAGATGCTGAAAGAAGGATTATAATAAAAGGTACAGCTGAACAGATTGCTTCAGCTTTATCGCAAATTGAGGATAAAGTTCGCGAAGATAAAGAATCTTATACCAAAGTGCAAGCCTCTGCTGCAGTAAGACTGCCTAGAGGTAAATCTTCACTGCGCAACAGTCCAGTTAACTCCACTGAACATTTGTATTCCACTGAAAGTTCAGTATTGCAAGGTGTGTAAAGCAAATAACTCAAATAATATCTTTACCTTTAAAATTACGAATGTCGCCATTTGCTTTGATACATTTAAATACTTTTACTTTCAGTTACAGATGGTCTAATGGAAATATATGTATCTGCAATGGAAAATCCTAGCCAATTCTGGATTCAAGTTGTTGGTCATGGAACTACAGCTTTAGACAAATTAGTGTCTGACATGGCTGAGTATTACAGTGAAAAAGAAAATCAAGAGTTACATAGATTAAAAAATGTATGTATACATTAGCTGTATTATTTAGTTACAGAAAATAGTGTATGAAAAAGAAACAATGAATTCAAATTATTTATAATTGATATTATTGTTATGGTTACATCATACTGTTTTAGGTAACTCTGGGTCAAGTAGTTGCAGCAAAATTCAGTTTCGATGAACTGTGGTATAGAGCCGAAGTTATTTCAGAACCTGAAGATGGCCAATGTGAAGTTTATTTTATGGATTATGGGGACCATGAAGTAGTTCAACTTGATTCTATACTGGAACTTCGCACAAACTTTTTAAGTTTACGATTGCAAGCAATCGAGTGTTCTTTGGCTGGCATTAAACCACGGTAAGTCATTCCTTTTCTTTTTATTATGTTAACATTTGGAATAAAATATAACATTTAAAATTAGATTTTGGAATCAACGAAACTGTCGGTAAAGTTATTACATACAGGTTTTTTCTTTGAAAAATATAAAATTATTAATATCGGTTCGTAGGAAAAGAAGACATTAATTGCTTAATTCACTGTCATCCATGTTGCTTGATCTTGAACTACCAATATTAGCTTCGCAAACTTCATTGAATAATTGTGGATTTACATGTTCCATCATTTTCCATGCTAAACTTTTGTTGAGTACAGTTATGTTTTCTTCGCAGTATGCCAAACTTGCTCTTTTAAGCGATAAACAGCCAAACTCGTCTGCAACTAAAAGTCTGCTTGCTATATTTTCTGGAGTTATTGTTTCAATTAGATTCCTCTCGCAAAGCTCCTTCAGTCCTAGAAAATAATTATGAGTAACTTTGCTTATAAGTAACTTCGTAAAATACAGTACCTTGTAAACAGAAACGTTCTGACAGAGATAGAAGTTGGGGAGCTAAAGCATCCAAATTATCGACATGGTCGCTATATATGTATCGTAACAATTCTTCCGTCACTTCTTTAGTAAGATCTAACAAGTCCAGAGAAAACGAGTAGTGATTCTGAAATATTTTCAATACATATCATTATGATAAATTTATATATTGCAAAATTATTATATAATAGCAATACTGACTACTCACCTGTGGAATTAATAAAGTTTAGAAAAAGTATCACTTGCAAAAAAGACAGTAATATCATAAATTTATATTCCTACAGTTAATAGCAGCATTATGTTAATTTAATACGGAAATTATACAGCTTAAGCTTTTAAAATTTATTCAATTCGTAATTTCGTGGAAAATTAGAATTGCTTTGTATTTTTTATATTTTATGTATGAAATAGGTATGTTAGATACGTATATAAAGAAACAACAACACATTAAATTTGCCAATTATGCTAGTTTTGTTTTTATATGAAAACATAGGATATGTTTTATAAATCAAATTAATACAGATTAAGAATAATTATAATTATAATGTTAATATTAGAAAGATTGTTTGAGTAGCTTCTTCTTAGAGATCGAATTGGATTATTTCAAACACTCGTTTTCTTTATCGATCACCTTTTCTTCCTGCGAGTCTCGCGTATCCGACGCATTATCTTCTGCGGTATCTGTCTTTGAGTCTTTTTTCGACGTTTCATTCAAAGGTGAGATCATTTCACGTAGAACATTACTACGCGCGGCTAATATACTGCTATGAACTGGAATTTCTGTATTGGTTAAACCACCGCAAGTTAATTTAGTATCCGCACCAGATGGATGCTTCAGTAACCTGGCCATATCCTGAAAAAACGTAATTTCTCAATTTTAATTTATCTATAAAATTGATAATTCCTTTATCAATGGTTGTTCAAACTATGGAAAACTCAAATTATATATGCTGATATTGTTTACTGATGTAACTCCAAAATTCACAGACTTCTATAATCTGTGCTTCCATGTTTTATTGCTATTATTACCTGATATTCAAATATCTACAAAATTAAATATTCTTTTAAAAGATGTACTGTTCATACAATGTTTAAATCGGTACAATTTTGCCAAATCTTTTTCTTTAGATTGATGACAAATTTTACTTGTGAGAAATTAATCAAGCTTCATTTAAATTAATTTAAATAATGCTTGCTTTAATTTAAATAATTTTAAGTAACTTTTAAAATAGTCCATTTCCTCGTGGAACATTATTAGTTGTATGAAACAATATAAATAGAAAAATCTTAGCCATTTTATTATTCGAGGAACACTTGCCTGCGATAAATTGTGCTTTTCGTTTTCACACTGGACTATTTGTATCTTGACCATTAACAGAACCTCGCCATTCTTGTTTAAATGCCTATCGACTACTGACAAGTCTTTGTACCCCAAGGAAATAATATCTGTGCATGATTTCAGTTCGAGTATTGTTCTGCTTACGTGACAATACTCCCAGTGTTTAACGTCAGCATTGAAAACTGCAAATTGAAATCGTATCTTCGCTTGTTCCGCCTCGTCTACCGTGCAGTGCAACATGTTCAGACACAGTACCACGGGGTTTATAACTCTTTTGCCTGTTACCAAACAGTTTAACGTTTAACGAAGTTGATCGACGATTATTTATTACAAATGAAAAAGAATGCATTCATCTATTTCATGTGCTTAATGAAGATAAACGATGTTCAAGTTTTCAATTGTTTGAGGGACAAATTTGAATAGTTTTAACGTGATTGTAATAACTAGACTGCGGATCTTTATGCATTTATAGGAAATTTGAATGTGCAAGAACCTACAAAATGCACACAATATGCAAGAATATGAAAAAGATTGAAAGTGAAGTTCATGTTATGATATTTACAGAATGAAATAAATTCTTATTTAGGTTCAATTTTTGTAGGCACGTTCATGAAGATTTTATTTTGCATAAAGATCCGCAGTCTAGTAATAACGATTTTATGGTTGCAAATCGTCTGCCTTACCGTCAGGGTCCTTCCAAAATCTGATAGATAGATTCCATACGCTATGAATATTGTTCACGTTCACGTCGAACGACGGGCTATCGATTAAGCTTTTCTTTGAGATGTATTTCTTGTAATGTGGAATTGGCCAAGTATATTTGAAGACGACGTCCGAGACTGTCGGCACTAATAGTTCCATTTTTTAGCGATTTCACTCGAATGAAAGGTCCTATTTGAAATGAGGAAGAGAGTCATTAAACTTGAAATCTATTAGGATTGTAACATTTTATTCAATCGATTAACCGTATACTTGAGGGAAACAAATAACGACAGAATATTGAGTAATGGTAAAAAGCGTTGAATTAAATAGTGAAACGAACAATTAAAATTATTACAATTATTATTACATAAACACATTTGTATGCAAGAACCACTGGGTTCATTAAATTACTAATACCATGGTCAAAGCATAGCAAAGCATTGTGTTTATTAGTAGAAGGAACGTTTGTATAGGAGCTACATCAATTTCGCTTGTTATTCATTTCAATTTATTGGTATATTAAGGGGTCATTCTACTATATTGGCCAAGAAAACATGCTTCTTTGTTAATTTTTTTTTTTTTGGAAAGGATATTACAAAACGATTTAAACATTATGCGTATATTTATTATGCTTTTATAATTACGTTAGAATTTTTTCAAAAAGAAATACGAATATTACGCAATTTAAAATAGATTATTGTTCAATTAAAGATAGTTCAATGTAATATTCATATTTCTTTTTGAAAAAATTCTAATATAATTATAAAAGCATAATAAATATACGGATAAAGTTTAAAATACATCGTTTTGTAATGTAATTTCGAACAAAATTAGCGAAGAAGCATTGATTTTCTTGGCCAGTAAAGTAGAATGACACCTTAAAGTTTGCTCAATTTGTTATACATGTTTCGATTACCCTCGGTTTTGTTCCTATCAGCTACTTTTTATCTCTTAACGTGCCCCAGGACAATTTAACAACCGCCATGAAAATATTTCTTCGTTATCATCGTTCGTTGTCGATTTCCCCGCAATTTTGTCTGTCTGGGAACACGTTGACTCTCGTGGCGCAGTATAATTGCACCGCACGGGTCGCGATAAAGCTTTGCCGAACCGCGCAAAACGTTTTGCCGTTGTTAAACTCTCGCGTTGCACATGCATAGGCAAAGTTTACGATATAAATTGCACGCTCGACGATTATAAAGCGATTCACATATGGCGAGCTGCCAGTTTCCGATCTACGTTTATCTTTATTCAACTAGAATTTCTTAGCCGCGCGATAATATCGCGTATTATCTTTTCGCTTCTTGCCAGGTACATCGAACGATTAAGTAATTAGATACGCGGGGCGGTGCGAGTATTATTATTAAAAATGACGGAACGATTATTCCAGTCGATGATAAGTTTCTTTTTTTATTATTCGTTATTAAGCATAATTTAATGTAGTTAAAAAAAAAAAAAGGCCAATTGCAATTTAAATTTGGAGAAATGTACTGTGTGTCACTTTATATTGTTATCACGTTACAGATGTGTGCGCGTACGTTTGTATACAGGGTGTCCCAAAAAATGTTGTAACTCCTTGAAAGGGGTGGTTCAAGGGGTGATTCGAAACAACTTTTTCCTTAGCAAAAATGTTGTTCGAGGCTTCGTTACGGAGATATTACGAAGGCTACGCGCCAGGCGGCCGACCAATCCGAGCGCGAGTATGCCGATGGAGCGGTAGCG